CCCGCTAAACCCAAACGCCGAATTAATGCCAAACAGAATTATTCTGAGTTTATAGTAAAAAGATATAGTTGAAAACCATGTAACAAATAATTCAAAATGTTTTAAAACAGTGGTATGTAAAACTGAACTTTATAGACTAGACACTCGTTCTTCCCAAAGACAATTATTGATTGGAACCACCTGGATGATAGCATAGTGCGCGCTCCATCAAAAGAGAGCTTTAAATGAGCTCTATCAAAAACCTAACGCACTCACTCCCCCGTCGCGTACATGCTGTAACAGGCCCTGCGAGGTACAGATTCAGAAAGTAGGCCTACTAACCTATCCAAGTTGCGCAGAAATAATTCACCATAATTATAAATGTCCGTATCAATTTTGATAAAAAAACAACGCTTGATTTACTTTATTGTCAATATTTGCTAATAAATGAAAGTTTTTTCAGTAGATTGCGTATGTGTAATAAGTTCTAATAGTATAAAATTAGCTTATTTTTAACATGTTACATGCATTGATAAAGAAATCAAGTTTGCCAGGAGAAACTAAAGGCACCCAATCGTAGCTAAAAACAAGCATACCAGTATATCTCAACGTTTTTAACTGCGTTCTCTTAGCAATATTGGGCCGTCGGTACACGCGGGCGACCGACTCTACCGGTCATGGCTATATCTAAACGGGAATTTAAGACAACTAATCGATAAACATGGTCTAAGACGACATTCTTATGCAGATGATACACAGCTGACTGCAAATTACTCCAGTTCAAAAACTGTCCCATCCCAAAATTGTTCTGATATCAAATTCTGTACACGTGACATTAAAGACTGGATGACAAGAAACATGTTGAAACTGAATGACAGTAAAACAGAATGTATCTTCTTTGGTCCAAATACTCGTCTGAAAAATCCAGGTTTAAATGGTGTGGTTGTAGGAGATGCAATAATTGCACCATCAGACACTGTGAAGAACTTAGGTGTCCTCTTAGAGCCCAAAGCATGGACAGTCACATTCGTGAAATTTGTCGAAAATGCTATTTTCAGCTTTCAGCTCAGAAACATTGGCCATATAAGACACTTGATTAGCCAGGAAGCAACTGCCACACTTGTATGTTCTCTGGTATTCTCAAGGATTGAATACTGTAACAGCTTGTTAGCAGAAACATTAAAAAACTTCAACTTGTGCAAAATACAGCAGTTAGAATTGTTATCAGATCATCAAAATACTCTCATATAACTCCTGTTCTGAAATTCCTCCATTGGCTGCCAATAAATTCTGTCCTTGACTTATTAGTGTGTAAATGGCTTAGCTCCAAAATACTTATTAATCGACCTTATGCAAATACATGTTCCCGCAGGGAAACCTCCGTTCAAACAGACTTCATCAGTTGTGTTGTCCAAGGTGGAAGCTAAAATCATTCGGATACAGATCGTTCTCAGTTGATGCAGCTAAACAGTGGAGCAACCTACCAGAAATCATTAAATCATCTCCAACTCTCTCTTGTTTTAGAAGCCATGGTGGCTAAGTGCTTAAGACGCTGGCTCGCTAGCCCGGATTTTCCGACGTGGTTTCCTCTTGTCAGTGGTGCAGAACGGGGGGGGGGGGGGGGGCTGACAAGGACAGCTGTCTAGTCCTTCGGATGATACAAAAAAAACGAGGTCCCGTGTATACATTGGAATGCATGTAAATGATCCCTTGGCAGTTGGAATTCGATATAAGAGTAGGCGATAGTGCCGCTGCCCGGACAAAATTTCCCTCATAGCACACTGTATGGCGTATGCCCGTCTTCATTAGCCCAGTATAGGACCAGAACAGTAGGACGTTAAACCCCATTTCATTTTATTTCTCTTGTTTTAAATCAAGACTTAAAACCCATCTTGTTGAGAAATGTTATCATGATTAATTAAATTAATTAATTGTATGCGCTGTGAGCATGCCTCTGTGCATGGAGTACTAGCGCTATATATAATTGTACATTTTATTATTATTATGAATTTATAGCGAGATTTCAGTTGCATAAATAAGCCTGGACCACTTTCAAGTTATTATATACTATTCAAAAAAAGTAGGGGATATTTGATTTTGGGGGCATAATACTAAAATATGCAAATGACTACGAAAAAAGTCACTATAGAACCTAACAGAAGAAACATTTCCAGTTACATGTGACGCCCAAACGCACCAATAGCTACCGCATGGAATGCAGGTGATGCTTGGGATCATCATGGGGGTCCAACCCAAGATTTGCACGACTCTGACTTTGAATGTTACAGTCATTGTGGCATTGAATTCCAGGGTGGAAACATCAGTTTAATTGTTTTAGTGACCAGAAAACAAATTTTGATATGCGTCGGCTTACCCAAAATGAAAGGTTACGTGCCCTTGGCATGCTACAGATCGGCACAACACAGGCGGTTGTGGCGCGGACGATGAATGTTTCTCAGTCTGTCATAAGCAGGCTATGGTCCAGATACCGTGATACACAATCTGTACAGGACAGACCACGCTCAGGTCGACCAAGGGCGACAACTCAAGCCCAGGATCGATTTATCCGTACCTTGGCCTTGAGAAATCGTGTCATCACAGCAAATCAGATCAGCGCTCGTCTTCAAACAGACACTGGTGTGAGAGTGAGTGGCCAGACGATTCGGAATCGACTGCATAGGGGTCACCTTCGCGCCCGACGTCCTCGCGTGATCCCTTGTTTGAGAGATCATCACATTCAGGCAAGACGTCGTTGGTGTAGGGATCGTCAACACTGGGATAATCGACGCTGGAGCAATGTGATGTTTTCAGATGAGTCAAGGTTCACTGTTGATTTTTTGGACAGACGTAGGAGGGTGTGGCGTCGTCGAAACGAGCGCTTCCAAGACGTTAACGTCATCAGACATGATCGATTTGGGGGTGGTTCTGTTATGGTGTGGGGAGGCATCACTGTTGCTGGAAGAACGGCTTTACATGTTGTTGCAGGGCGTGTTACAGGCCAGTACTACCGGGACAACATCTTGGCAGTCCATGTTGTGCCGTTCGCACGACGTCATGGCCGCCGTTTCATCTTCCAGGATGACAACGCAAGATGTCACAGGGCCAGGATCGTTACAGGTTACCTCCAACAACAGAACATCACCACATTACCTTGGCCAGCACTGAGTCCCGACCTCTCCCCCATCGAGCATGTCTGGGACATGCTTGGACAGAGGTTACGTCAACGTCAACAACGTCCTGCCAATGTCCAAGAACTTGCTGCTGCGTTGCAACAGGAATGGGACAATCTGGACCAAAATGACCTTAGACGTCTCATTAGGAGTATGCCACGTCGGATCAATGCTTGTTTGGCAAACAGAGGAGGATTTACCCGTTACTGACTTGGTTGTGATGCTGTGGTAACTTTGCTGTTTGACCCCGGGTATCATTTTACCCTTATAATGGTCAGTCTGTGCCTTACTTAGTCTAACGATCATTTGGAATAAATCGATGAATGTGAACTTCATTTCATTTTGTCATTTGTTTCTTCGTCAGTTTCATTAGGTGACTTTAATAACACTTAAAAATCAAATATCCCCTACTTTTTTTGAATAGTATAGTTTCGGGCCGGAAATGCAGAAACACGCGTTTGAGGCGGTCTAACTTTCCAAATTTTCTGGAGGGTCGGATACGAAACGCGACTTTGACGCTTGCTGTCGAACGACTTTGACCTCGTAACGTGAATATTTTGGGCATATCATTTCTGCATAAAAGGGAATATGTTGACAATACTTTCCATTCGTTTTTAATGCCTATTTTGTAAATATATCGATAAGAATAGTCCCCTTTATGTCAAATCTTTCATTACGACTGGTCTTCGTCGTTACATTGAGACATCTTGCATTTTCATGGTGGTCAATAAATATGGTAAATCTTTATGTCAATATTTCACAAGATAGGTTGCCAGGCAACGAAACATACGCCCACAGCAGTTAAGTCGTCCAGGCAGTCAACAAGGGCTGTCGCATATTTTTCCTTTTGTCTGTAATGAGAACATTTACAACACACGAACATCTGATTACCAGTAATAACTCATTATGTAATTATCAGAAATCATTAGAATTTGTTTTGATTGTTTTTCTCATGACTTTAAACAATAAATATTAACTTTAGCCTCTAGAGTGTCAACATAATTTTACAATGACAAAAATCGATGAATATGACTAGAATTCTTCATCTCATGACATTAAACACTGTGTATAGAGCTTCTATAAGATTATTCAAGTAGGTCAAGGGCCATAACTGAACTCCAGCAATAATTATCAGAAAAAGTTGAAAATCAATAGGATTCTTCTTCTCATGACCTATTAAACGGTGTGTACAAATTTAAAGTCAATTTGATATTAACTTTAGCCTTCAGTCCACAAGATATTTCAAAGAGATCAAGGACTATAACTCTGGCAGCAATTATCAGAAATCATTGAAAATGACTAAGATTCCTTTGTCTCATGACCTTAAACACTGTGTATAAATTTAAAGTCAATCGGATATTAACTTTAGTCCCTAGAGGTTGTTAAGATTTTTCGAAGTGATCAACGGCCATAACTCTGTCAATAATTTAAAAAATCGCTGAAAAGCAATAGGATTCTTTGTCTTAAGATCTTAAACACTGTGTATAAAGTTAAAGTCAATCAGATATTAACTTTAGCCTCTAGAGCGTCCACAAACAATTGTAGACGCCGAATGAACGGGGCCGACGACAATATACGATCACATTTCAATGTGGGCGTATAACAAGAGTCTTTGAATCCATGAGGTTAGACTGGAAGCCCTAATGCTTGTCAAGGAATATTGTGTCTTTCATAAGGCAGTAGAATATAGTAAGTTATTGTATTTTGGTATTAGAAAAGCTTTTTCTTACAGCTATCTAAGTCAAATCAGTTCGGACCAGGATGGAAATGACAGACGTACCCAATTTAATATCCTTCAGCTTATTGAGACCCCTTTATTCCAAAAATTCGGAGCAGAAATCAAATACAAGCTAGATTTAACAACAACTTTAATAAAACAATCATACATCAATAAACAACCAGGGCAGATTGTTGCTAAGATAGACAATATTATACTATATCGGAAATATTAATCAAACATCTGCCTTGATGTTAATCATACTTACTGTGATCAAACCAAACATTCCCATTTGCTAAAATTTATATATAATGTCTGCATCAAGAATGGACGAATTGTTTTATTTTTAAGGATATTGATGCTTGATAACAATATTATGAATTTTTGTAGCTAAATCTATTCTTCAAGTGATTGTAAGTAACTTCTGCCTGTGTAAAATCATCATTCAATTTCCAGTCAATCAACAATAATACAAAACCTTGTGCATTGAGTCCTTCTGTTGTATTTGGTAGGATACTCACTTCTCACCATTTCATTTCCCTTTTGTAGGAATGTGTGTGAACTGTGAAGAGAAGAGGGTACTAAATCACTAAATGGATATGAGTGATAGGAAAGATACTGTTCACACCATTAATCTTAGGTTTGCGTTTATACCTGTCACACAATGGCACATGTAACCTGTGATTAATATTAGCAGATTGTTGTAATCTAGGAAACTGGGTCATGTCAAGATGTTGTTGTGACCACTTCCAGTGAGTGTATTGTTTCAATCTGATTAAAACACAGATTCAATTTCGTTTCGTTTTTATAGTTCAAAATTTCGATTTTACTTGTCTTTACTACACTTGGATCTGGAAGCGTTGTTATTTAACTTGTGTTCTGCTTGAAATGCAGGGTCAGCCAATGAAATGGTCTGTCAAATCGAGCGTTTGACCTTTTTTTGTGCGGAACTGTGGGTAGACATTAGCAGCAATAGAAATCAAAACAAAGCAAAAGTAGATAAAAAATACATGGCAGTCGCTAATTGGTTAATCGAATGACTGACGTAATCGGGTCAAATGTCGCTGGCTTGGTACCTGACATCATAGAACGTGAACTCCCACTATAACTTGTTAGATCTACATGTAGTGTAGGCCACCGAAAGTATAAAAAACGAAACGAAATATAGATCTATATTTTAATTAGATTGTGTATTGTTTGAAAGTTTGACCACAGTTCTATTGCCTATTGACATGAGTGTTCATTTCATGTCATGGGCTGACTTTTTATACAGAAACCTTCCTTGGAATTTAATCTTTTAGTCATATAATGCTTTATATAAGCCTTCTCGTACAAATCTTAAAGACAAGTAGTAACAAGAATCCAAGTAATATTTTCTATTTGTGGGAATCTTCCTGTGGTTAAGGAGCAAACCTCTTTAAATTTCTTGGAGATTGAGCAAACAAAATTCCTACCAATTTTGATGAATCCGTCAAAGATAAATTTGCATGCTTTTTTATTGGATGTTCACATGAAAAGCTTTGTGTGATTATATATATAATTGAGCTCAAGTATAGCAAATATCTTTTTCCAAATTATCATCACTTTCCCACATTTATCCTGCTTCCGAGGAAATTATAGTAGAAATGACATCTTACTAGCCAAAACCTATTTGAATGGACATAGTAAATCATGTACATCAAAATATAATTTTTGGGGGGAAAGTCATTTATACTAATTATAGCTAACAATTTTTGCTGCTCTTTTTTACAATGTAATTTAGTCAAGACGACTGTGACTATTCTGAAGATTACTGGCAGTGAAAAGTCTTTAAATTGATACACAGACAAAGAATGAGTTATATGATTAATGATATTTATATTACATTTCTCCATCTTGTAGCAGAATACAGAGCTTTAAACCTTCTATCATACATCTTCCTCACCTAGAAATAAAGAGAAACAGCAGTATTATCAACATTTCAACATTTCTCGAAACATCCAAATACATGTAAAGTTTCTCATTTATGCTAATATTAATTATATACATAAATTAAAATATATCACATATAAACAAAAAACAACAATTCCAATTGAAATACATATTTCAAACATTGTTTTGAAATATAAAACTGAAATACATATTTTATATATTTTTATGAATTATAAAGCTGAAATACATATTTTTTGAAAATCAGATGTGTAGAATATTAAAATAAAGACAGAAAATTAAAAGGTTAGAAATTTAATTTAACATCCAGGTGCATTTTCTCTAAAATATCAAATTTCTCAGGGTTTAATGCACACTAAATATGTACTCAGATTGTTTATTAAACATTTAATTAAGAAAACAAATAATCAAAATACCAACGGTAGATTCTCTCCCAGTTTGGATTTAATAAGATTTAAACTAAGCCATTAGGTTTCGCCACTACTGATAAAAGATGGCAGCTTCTTGTTATGCATGAGCATAGATAGATGAAATTTCAATTTATTATAACTTTGTAAATACTGAACGGAAGTGAAACATATTTGGACTGATATTAGATTGAACTTCACAATATTGTAATTTGCAAGGGATTCCTATGGGGCTAAATGATGCATCTGGCATTTAAAGCACTGATCCAAGACATGTGGCAACCGTAAACTGTGATCGTAATAAGTTGTAATCGTAATAAGTATTCAGATGTAATATCTTATTAACACATGGAACTCACAAGACTTGGTAGCTGAAATACAAATAAGGTTTTTAACAACTTTACATTCACAAGCCCACCACAAATGACACCAAACTATGCCTGTCAACAACTGGTAAGAGACATTATGTTTCATACATAACAGTGATTCATAGAAAGAAAAGAGTTGTCTGCGATATCACCTCGGTGGAAGCGGACTTAAAATACTACTAACTCAACAACGAAGAAAAAAGTCCACCAAATTATTCTTACACTATAGCTAACCTGAGTATGTAATCCTATTGTGGCCATTTCATAAACTGCACATCGAGGGAGAGAACATAAGATAACTTTTTATATATAACCGTGATGGTGGACAGATTTCAAAGCCTATGTGAAAGCAATGACATTCCAGATACAAAATTTACAAAATAACAACTAAGCTGTTGATTTTAAGTAAGCTAAATACTGAAGCACTTATCAAAATATTGAAATATAATGAAAGTACACAATATTGAAATATAATGAAAGTACAAAATATTGAAATATAATGAAAGTACAAAGTATTAATGATATAAATAAAACATTTACAGAAATCATGATGTAAAAAGTATGCATATGTTACATGATCTTATACAAGATAATCATTATAAAACAGACTAAGTGGTAGCAGTTACAGTAATCATCTAGGACATGTAACTAGTTTTCATAGATCAATGCAGGAAAAACCCAATGGATGAGAAGAAAGTTATAATACCATGGTATGGCAAAAATGAAAATTTTCAAGAATCTTTTTCTAAATTTTTTTTAAAGGAATTCAAAACCTATCAACTGCAAATATTTACTTACTTATGTACTGAGGAACTTGAGGATTATTACTTGTTGGAATGGACGATAAGTGAATGGTTGGATATGGTTTCCAGTTTCTAGCTTCATAAAACATGGTAAATGGTGGGGCTTTATGGAAAGAAATGTAGTTTTAACAAATAAATGACTTAATTAGACCATCTAAAAGACAATGCATTGATAAAAATACCAGGCTGTTAAACTTGTAATTTTCCCAGAAAAGTATTTATCGGGTGGTTGTTTCCAATTAAAGTATGGCAATTTTGGTATATATGGAGAGTAGAGATATCCAATCTTACTAGAAAAATACTGTATCTTTAAGAAAAACATTTGCTTTATAAACACATACTTCTATTAAATAGAGAGTTACTGTGTTTCAAACAACATCTTAATTGATTAAATTAGCAGTAAATGCTCATCATTTACTTAGTTAAGGTAATGAAGTAAAGGTCTTAAATTGATTTGATAGTTAACATTAGCCTTGATATAACTATCCTGACAGGTATACCTTTATTTGCAGCTTCTGTAACTTTAGATATAAGAAGTAAACCAATTTCATCAGAACTCATTTTACTTTGATGCACATTTATCATATGTTGAATATATTTATCTGAAAACATAAAAAATACTGGTTGCCAGGCCACAAAACATATTCCATCACTTGCTTTTTAATTGAGGATGTTAAACCCTATTTCATTTTCATTTTATTTCAGTTATACATTTCAAAGCCATTGATCAGTTTACCTGATAAAACATTCCTCATTTTAATCCCTATTTTTTTAATCATTGGATTAGGAAATATGATTGGATCAATGGCCTCCTGATTTGATGACAAAAAAACTTCCACCCACAATGTGGCCATAAAAGAACTTACTTATGTATTTAGGGTAATCTGCTCTTGAGGTGTTGCTCTGAATACCAGCCAACTTCGGACAATGAGATACAATATCTTCCATTATAGATCTTTCTGATAACATAATATCATTTATATGTTGACTGAAAATTTTAAAAGTTACTACATTAAAGAGGCATTATTCAAGAGCTAAATCTGAATTAAATGTTATATAAACTATTAATTAGACATTTATTAACATGACAAGACCATAATCTACACTCTAGGCCAATTGAAAATTGATTCAATTTAAAATTGGAGAAGCCAGGCTAAGTCTCGAACAACCAGTAAGGTGGTTACAGTAATAAATAATCAATGCACACAACTTGTAAAAACTACAAACATTGATAACTTCGGTCAGAATAAAGTAATTTGAATGAAATTTTCCATATATATTCATTTTACATTATCTATTTTTGAACTATTATAGCAAGAACAGCCAGCTCTTTATCTAAGTCTTGCACAATGTGTCTTTAAGTAAACAAAGGCTGATTATGAGAAAAAAGCCAGTACCGAATATATATGACTAGTCTTCTGACAATTTTCCAAGCCACTGAAAGCTATGCTATCAGCCTAAGCTACAATCACAAAAACTATTATTTTTAATTTCTAATTTTCAACCTTCAATGTTACACAGGATTTGATGTTCCTTCTGCACTTACAAAACTAAAAGCCTGCAAGTCTGTCAATAGAAAGATACAGGCACAAATTTGGATAACCTTTTCTTGGTAAGGTTTAACCTTTTGACTAATCAAACAATTTAAGCAATTTTAAAAAGAATAAATGTTACATTACCCAGTACATTTATCATCATTACATGTTCCTTGTAGTTCAAAGCTACATAATATCTGATTTGGGTTAATTTTGTTGGAAAAAGTTGGCGACCAAACTGATTTACATTCCTTTGTTCGAAAGTAAGAACTTAATCTGAAATAAACAAAAATACACATAAATTGTTCTGAAAATGCTTCTATACAAATGGCCTAGCCAATGTTTTGTAATCTGGGTTGCAATTTTACTGTTTGCAAATAAGTGGGCATCACAATTACGTGCTAATTAGATACATGAATTTTTAGTTATAATGACAAGTAAAACATGTCTTCCCGCAGAAAACGGTAAATGTTTAGTTCACTGCATGGTAGTCAAACACACATAAACATGTGAATATGATAAATAGCATATTACCTGTACGATTTAAAGTGTAATAAAGGACTAGTATAATCAACACTGGAATCTATTATATTCATATTAACTTTATTATTTACTATATCACATGGTGTCATCTGAAATATAGTAACAAAATAAAGTATAGCTCATATGTAGTCTATTGAAACCATGTGTGGGGGACGGGATTCATTTGTTATTGTTTGCACATTTTAATAACAAATGACAAGCTATTCTTTATTTTGCAACACTTTCTTTTTTAAGTTAGGTTGCCAGACAATGAAACATCTTAGTCGTTACAAAATTATTACATTGTGATTCTTTTTTGAAAGCAACTTTATCGTTCATTAGGGGGGTTGGATGGTTGAATGTTTAGCACATGGTGCTGTATCATAAGGCCTGTCATTTAGTCAACTGGCATGATTTCGAATTCCCGGTTGTACATGACAAGGAGTAGGGTCGCCTGTCCAACCTCGTGGGTTTTCTCTGGGTCCTCGGTTCCTCCCACTGCTAAAGACCCCTACGCGCAAGCGAATTATTGAAATAAAATTAAATCATATGCTAGTCCCGAAATGACCTAGTTTGTGTCGAGTGGATGTTAAACCCCATTTCTCCCTCTCTTTTATCATTCATTAGACACTGAATTGTGATCAAGGGAAACAACCCATGAAGTAATAATCAGAAATTTTATAACTTGATCAGTTTCTTACTGGACAACAAGAATTTTAAAAATAAACAAGGGCAATTGCTCTGAAAGTAATTATTGTAAACCATTGAAAATCAACTTGCTTCTACTGAAGATAAACATGGTATATAAATTTTTCAAGTCAATCTGATGATAGCTTTAGCCCAGTGGTTCTCAACCTTTTTTTGCCAACGACACACCTTGGAACACATGAAAAAATAGCGGCACACCTGGCTAAATATATATGAAAAATATTTGAAGTTTGCAAAATAAAAACATGGTAAGTCAGACTCGAACTAAATAAAGAATAAAAGCTTTGAACGTATCAGTAGACACTAGTGAATACTCAGTTGGGATCACATGGTTTTGCACATTTTCTTAGTGTGCCGTTCAAAATTTCGGGCACACTTAGGAAGATCTCACAGCACACTGGTTGAGAAAAACTGCTTTAGGCTCTTAGAGCATTCACAATTTTTTTTAAAATGATCAAGGGCAATAACTCTGACAGCGATTATCATAAATTTTTGAACTACATATACATTTTTAATAAGAATGGGGCCTCATCGTCTGGTGGACATAATAAATTTCAAGTCAAATTTGATGATTTATGCCACCAGTGTGTGTACAAGGCATTCCCAAGTGATCAAGCACAATTATCAGAAATTGGTGATAATTGATACACATCTTCATTAGCCCAGTTGGTGCAGGAGAGTTGGATGTTAAATGGTAAACCCCGTTACATTTCATTTTCTTACTCATATAAACAGAATTAACAAATTTTAAAGTGCACATAAGATGGGTTTTGGAACTTTTGGATATGTGTAGCCAATGGTTACTATATCAACTTTACGGCAAGTTCACACCAATTTGATTGAAATTAATTCAGTTATCTTCACTCAAAGTCGTAAAAATGGACCTCCCGTGAAAACGACTTTGCCAATTATCGAAAACACTCTTAATCCCCTCCGACGCCAGAATGTTTATTCCTTAATTACCTATATACAGCCGGCGTGTGTACTCATTAATGCCTGACTGATTCCTTAATCTCCCTTAGTTCTTAATTAAATAAAACAATTGACTTCGGAATAATTCGTTTTGTAATTCATTTTAATTTAAGATCCAATTTAGATTGCCTACAACTTTTAAACTTTGAAGTCTTGAACTCTTAATTAATTTTTTACAATATGGAACTTATTGGACGAACACTTTTAATATGTAAATAATATACCGGTCCAGCTATGTGTTTTTTACTGCGAGCACTTCGCTTTTCCACATAAAGTGTAGTGTCGTTAATATTTGTCATTAATTAATCAATCCGACTATAAAAGTTATACAGGCATGGGTCATAAATTACACGTCGGTGTTAGCAGTGAGTGTTAGTGGGATTAAGAATGTTGATTAGGTAATTATCTTTTTTTACGCCGGCCAGATCAAAGACATCACTCTAAGTGGAACGTGTGCATAATACCTCATGAACGAACTAATGGTAGAATCGTACACCCACACATTAATTGTATAAAATCATTAAGTTTTACTCATCAGTTGTTTATAAGTATTATTTACCCAATAATTATTGCTCACCAGTGTTTTTGTAATCAAGTAGCCTCGTATTATTTGTTGATTGGCGTTTAAACAACAATCGTTTATCTTCTTTTTAATAAAAGTATTTTACAATTGCATTGACAGTTTAATCACTCACCAAACGGCACCAGGAACTCCACGTATGATCCCGTGCAATTTTCGTGCCGAAGTTTAACCTCATTTACTACACCCGTAGTACATGTAACCGTAAATGGTAATAAGATTCCCAGCGTTGATTGGCTGAGAAATGAGGGCGATCTATTGTACATGTTATGCATAGTCATCGGAAAATTCCATATTCACTGTAAATTTCAAATGGAGTTACGATAAAAGTTGTTCTTTATGTATAGAAATGGTTATTATTATTATATATAGCTAATAATGAATATATCGACAAATGACTGGCGCCATTATATCAAGTATTACGGGGTTATCCAAATTACCGGTAAATGCGCTAATTTCTTGAGTCGTCTTCATTTGACATGTGGCCTATTTAAACAAAGGCAGCTTAAATGGATCTACGGCATGATACGGCATTTGAAATTCACTCTAAAATATTCCAATCACAAATGAAAGACGATAATTCGGTGATTATGATTAGGCCAGTCACGTGGTAATTGGAACGTCAACAGACGCTTGTCAACTTGCCGTGTGTATTGATAGTGCTATATTGTACAGACGGTGAGATATTGTATAGATAATGTATATCCTATGTGTAGTGCCTGTGACGTCACCAGCCAATCAACCGGATTAAGGTCGTAATTGAAAAATTGAAAAGCGTTTTGGCGTGTCGGACACTTAAACGTTAACAGCCGACTTAATTTTAATCAGATTGGTGAGAAGTTGCCGTAAAGTTGATATAGTAACCATGGGCTATACATACATGTAATTTAGATTTTCGATCTTACGTGGTCTTTAAAAAGATTCAATAATAGAACGTCTAAAAGGATCAAAGGCATATAAGAACTGAACTTAGCTTACCTGCAATTTACACAAATTAGATTGCTGATCACTACAAGGTGTTTTAAACATAACATGTTTAATAGAGGTAGAATAATTTCCAACCAATGGTTGTTTAGTTGGTTGTATATTTAGTTTTTTATTATGACTGAGTTCATGTTTTGCTTTAGAAGGACATATTTCGGATTGAGAATCACTTAATTTTATTGTATCTAATGTCTGCTCAGAACCTTTCAACTTAGTTTTATTTTTCTGAGATCTAAATAAAGAACCAGTTTGTACTGCTTTTAGGGCATGTGCCTCTTTAAGTCGAAGAATTTTTTCAGCAAATTCTCTCTCCAGTTGTTGAAGACGTTTCTTTTCCTCTACTATCTTATCTTTGGCTATTTTCTTAGGTACTTTATGAGGCACTGTAGGAGCATGTTGTTTAGTCGTCAACAAAACTGTCTTTGACATCTTTATTGCAGACTGTAAATAAAATACTTGTATGATTAAACATGTGCTTAAAATGGGTAAACTGTAGATTTACAAGATATAGTGACAGGGGCAATTACTCTGCAAAATAAGAAGCAGGGTTAAATTTCCATAGTTTTCCTCAAATCAGACAGATTAAATACACAAGATTGATGTTCAAATGTATGTAAGAAACTGTTATTGTGAAGGTTTATTTTAAAATCGAAGAACTAGATAAATTAAATGATAAATTAATCAGATTGAAGAGAGCTATAAAAAGAAAAACAACATTTTGCAGATGTTAATGAAAACAAGCCAACAGTGAGGCCGATGTCCCCTGCCGAAATCCCAAAATAAATAGATAACACATATTAATTAATAGCGCATTTTTTTTTTTCAAAAGTATCAAGCAATCAAACTGATTATCAACTATACACTAAGTTTCATCACTCTCTATCAGATAGAATCAAAGTTATCAAGGCATTCACCTAATAAACACCTACACCAAGTTTGAACATTATAGCTCAATTAGAAGGAGAGTTATTGTGTTTGAAAGTCTCGGCCAATCAAAATGCTTATCGCTCAGCTTACCCTGAGCAGAAAATGCTCATTATCGAACTTAGTCATTGTATTGATGTAATGAAACACTATACACCAAGTTTCATCACTCTCACTTAATTAGAACTGAAGTCGAATTGCTTATCTCTGCTTACCCTAAGCAGAAAATGCTCATCTTCGAACTCCATCAAGGCATTGACCTAATAAACACCTATACCAAGTTTGAACATTCTAGCTCAATTAGAAAGAGAGTTATTGTATCTCAAAAAGTATGACGAACAGACAGGCGACGGACGGACAAAATTTTTCAAAATTAATCCACTAGAACTGAAGTAAATTTAGTGCAATTTTAAAGGATCAACCAATCAGATTACAGCAGGTCAAAAATATGTGCACAAATAGTGTTGATGCTCAAAATTTGGTGAATAATTGTGATATTGAAAATATATTGCCATCATTCAACACAATGTGACTTATATTATCACAAAAGTAGAGTGACCATGGCTGTTTTGTGGGTGAGTAAACATCTGAAAGATGCTGGTAACCAGCTCCTAATGAAACCACTACACTTCCTCCAAATTATAAAATGGTTGTGTTTTAATCGAGGTAAAAACTACATATTTTTGTTAATATTATTCTAAATTATTACAATTTACTAGTCTGGTAATTAAACAAATTATTTTTTAGGTTGTTAGCATTTGATGGTTCTAGATGATACAACAAAAATTTCTATGGCTTAAAAACAGATGATTTATCTCTAACAACAAACTACATATTTTTCTATAAAGATGAAAAAAAATTAGACAATAAGCACATTTGAAATGATGTGACACATAACAGTAGGATAGAATATATTTAGAATACTTACATGGCTGTCAAGCTCATCTGTAAAATCTAATTTAGCCACCTTCCGTTTACTAGGACTATTTTCTTTTACAATATGTCTAGGTTTATAGTTTTCACCATATACTTCACAACCTAACTTAATAACTACTTCTTCTGTTACCTTTAATTTATCTTTCTTCTTTAACAAACTGTCTTTTACTTGACGAGCCTGAAAGTAACATAATAGAATAGACTTCATTTATCCTGATGAATTGGAAATTGCCATACTACTGATAATTTTGTATCCTCCTATAAAAATTTACATCTAAAATTTGACCTACTTCAATATTAAAGACGATGACAATATACAACATTTCATTGTTGGCGTATAAAAATTGTTTTAGAATTTAATTTGCAGAAGACAAAAAGTAAATTGAGAGCTAATTAATTTTCACTGATGTCATCCCTTTCAGTGATTGTAGCGAACAAACAAATATTCACTGCTGATCAGTATGAGGCTGGACATTTACTGTCACAGAAAAATCAACAACTCATGGATATCATAACAATGCAGGCATAAAGTGTAAAAGTCAAAAGTTAGTAATGGCGTAGAGTCAGAATTTGTCCAAAGTAAGGCCATCTACAGAGTAGGCAGTTTGAGATCCTGCAGACATTGGCAGATAATGTGTCAGTCTTGTCGTTGCCATCCAAGGCAGTGTTAGGATGGTAGTGTGCTTGCATCCAACCCACTGGGCGACGACTCTGGTACTTATGCCCTCTTAAAATTAACGTAATGGTGTATTCTTGGTGTTTTCTATAAAATCTTTAGCTCAAACCTCAAGCTCCAGATAGCATCTAACCTACCTTTTCAGAGTTGATCACTATAACATGTTTGTGTTTGTTATCATTTCATATCTACTTTTCATTTAGGACCACCTGATCTTCCATTAGGGGATTTTTTTCATTTGTTAAGTCTACTTGCTGTTGCAATTTGTATTTTGGTCATTGGTTAGCACAGATTGATCCCCGATTTTTAACTATAATAATACCGATTACTGAGCTGAAAGTCTTCTAGTTATGTGGGTTAATGAGAAATACTGAAATTAAAAAATCTGATAATAGTTTACCTGTGCTTTAGTTTTTTCCACTTGAACTTTATTAGCAGAAGAGATCTTCTCAGCTGCCATTAGTTGTTCATGTAATGATTTAACTTTTTGTTGAGCTGTTTTTAAACTTCGTTGATAATTCTTGGCTCGATTAATCAATGTTTTTAACAAACCCTGATCTTTGGTAATAATTTCTCTAAAATAGAAAACATCTTAAATTATCTGAAATAATCTTTGATTAAAAAAGCAAGTGGATTATAATTTTGACAATAAAATTTTTATGTGACTATATAACTTATCGAACTTAGACAAGATGTTCACATATTTCCTCTTTACTTCTGCCAACATTATCTAGACAGAGAAGTGACTACCCACAGTTTCTAACTAAACACCTGTAAACCAGATGCTTGTCCTCAAACCTAATTTGTTACAGTACAGTGTACTCTGTTACATCAGACCTCTGATCACTCTGGCACTCTGTCACATCCGACATCATTTTCATGTCCCGATTTATTTCCTTATTACTTCAGCCAAAAAATCTCTGGGTAATTCGACCTCTGTAGGTTCCGGATTACGACATCAATCAGCCGTCCCGTCATACGATTTCCATTGAATCGACACCGTATAATCCGGCCTTCAATCGGTGGGTATGAAGCAAACACTTACCGATCAATTATCCGTGAGATTATTGAAACTGGATGGGTGTGAAGCCACAAAAGATTAACAAGCAATCACCAATCAATTATCTGTGAGATTAAAACTCGCTACCGTGGGTCTTTGTTGATTACTTTGATAATTTTAATCTCTTGTACGACAGTTGTGACAAATACTCAAGAATATCCACGAATTTTCCCCCGAATTCACAGTCGTAAAAATATTCCTAGCACCTGTTGGAAACATTCGTTGCGCATGCCGATTGAACCTGAATAACCTATAAGTTATGTCACCCTACGGATCTCTTCGAACCGTGTTGGAAACATTCGTTGCGCATGCCGATTGAACCTGAATAACCTATAAGTTTGGTCACCCTACGGATCTCTTCGAACCGTGTGACGATGACCTGGGGATGCTCGATTCACAGTCCGGAACGTCCCGAATTGACAGAATTGCAATCGAGTGACGCGGTTTTCAGTCCTGACAGTTCTGTCAGTCCCGACGACGGAGGTGGTGTGAGGTGAATTGTGATGTAATTAAGCACGACGAACATGTTTCGGCTGCATGGTTGGATGAGATATTTATATATCCAGTCGACGAATGCGTTGTAGCCCGAAGTTCCCATTTTCACCCAATTATCACTATTTTAAAAAGTCAAACTCATTTCTCATTTTGTGTTTGAAAATCCAAAGGTACGCTTTCAAATATTTATGGCATAACTAATCATTTAAAGAATTAGGAGTGAAGGGCATTTTTAAATCAACGTGCTTGCAACTGGTCAATAGCCTACGTGGTGTCAAAATACGTGATCTGTCAAAGTACCGGTAAGACGGGGAAATGAAATGCCAAGAATGAATGAATGGAGTTTGTGCTATAATACAAATAATTTAGACCTGTGTGAATAAATCTGTTAATGAAATTTGTTAACGTAACCGATATTTCAATTTGCGTAACCAGGAAATCGGTCGCATGTTTTTGAGGTGGCACGACCGCATGTAACCAATCGGTCGCGTGTTTTTGAGGTGGCGCGACCGCATGTAACCAATCGGTATCGATCGCGTGAAATTTCGTGGCCTGTCAATGGATTCTGGAAGTTGATCAATCATGTCATGCTTTCTACAGCATTATTATAGATGGACACCACAATTCTCAGATTTTGAAACTGGAAACTTGTAATGTTTGAACACAATCAATATACCAACCTTTGACTACTTAATTCTTTCTCTCTCTCTTTTATCTCCATCACCCGTTCAGTCATAGTTTTCGTTTTCTCCACTGCTCCTTTTATCTAAAATAATAACAGAAATTCACCATTTTATAGGGCCACACATAATCAAGATCACTGTCAACAACAGCCAAAAGCAGATTAATTGTAGTTACAACAAAAGAAATATTACTTAGCTGGCCATTATAAGTAGCACCACTGTTGAGTTTGCAACAAACTTATCATTTAAAAGAATAGAAATATATCTGGAAGTTCATATACTAATACTATACCATACTAATTGTTCATTTTATGTCTTTGAACAAACTAGAAATAAACTTGGTATTCAGATCAGCATTCAATTTATTATATGATCAAACTGTCTAATAAGTTCTGAGTTTGTTATTCAATTTATTAAGGTACAAACCTCAGAAGATTTTCTGGCTTCTTTTAGAAAGTCATCTAGACCTCCTAATATTGAAATGGTTGAGTTAGCTACTGCTGTTGAGTTATCTTCTTCACTAGAACTACCTTCCAAATTTATCACTACTGGTTTAAGTGTTGGCACCTAGATAACACAAGAACAAGTATATTTAACAAATATCAACTCTTAGTGAAAGGTTATCAACAAATAGTAGTTGTCCAGTAAATCATACTCCACTGGTTAAATGTGTTCAGTGTCTTCTAGCAGAAAGTGATCGCCCAAAAATAAATTTCACTGTTTATTATTAATTCTATTTAACTCTAATTAAGCAATCACATACTTTCGTTTTATCAATTACAGTCATCTTAACATTTACAACAATACATTTAGTATTAATCTATCTTACATACTTGTTCAATCATTTAAAATTATTCTGCCAATGTACGCAGCTAGTGGCACTAGCTATTTATTGCCATTTGTATTTATCCATAATAGCTCTTTTTTATGTTTGTGCTATCAAAGCAGAGTCATAAATATTAAAATCTACCAAAAACGACAATATAAAAATGTTCTTACAGTTTTTACAATTGGAAAGTTTTTTTTAATTGACAATGATGAATCAGATTGTATAGAAGATGGGGGTGATGACATAGATGTTTCATTATTCGTTGATAATTTCCCCTAAAATATAAAAACATTAATAATGAATGCAGGATACATCCTACTCCAACAAAGTTTATATCACAATATCTGAGATTTTACAAGATGTTCCTGAAGCATTCCTTGCATCTGTGCAATCACAGCACTTTTAATATAGGTTGAAAAACAAACCATATAGGAATCATATTTTTATTTACATTTGGACTTTTAACGCCTGTGAAACCATATACCACAGAGGTAAATTTTTAATTAATTATTATAAGGAAAATTATGTTATAATATATAAAGCAACTTACAATTTCATTATGTTTTCGTTTTTCCATTAACGACTGTAGAAGTTGTTGTCTCAAAATTGCAGTTTCTGCATCCTCATCCTCCATAGGAGGTAAAGGGGGGCGATGTTCTACCTGTTCTTGTGGTAGGTCTATAGGAGGAGGAGGAGGAGGAGGAGGGGGTGGTTCTATGAGAACTGGTGCTGCAGGAAATGCTCCATATACAAAGCTACTATAAGGCAATTGAGCTTGATCTCCTTTTAACCATAAATTTTGTAGATCAATTTGTTCAGGTATGTAAGGTTCTGCAGTCGTCTGTCAAATGTTTAAAACAATACATGTATTTTAATTCTTTACTAATTATGCATGGCTTAAATAATTAAAACTGGTCAAAATTGACGATGATGATGACGATCAACCATTTAGTGTTGTTGATTTATTAGATGATAATTGATATCCAAAATGTTGCCACAGTACTCATCAGTAGTCTATGATGGACAATTGCATCACAGATGAAGTTTGGCTAGACAATAGTGCCTTTCACTGAAGTTGGCATCCCTGTCTGTGATGTAAGTTTTCCTAAATTCACAAAAACAATATGTTCAATTTAAATGTGTTCCCATAAAAATTTAGTTGAAATTATTCACTTACCAAATAAGGCACTGGCTGCATTGCACTCTGATAATCATCATCATATAATTCCTCCATTATTTCACCTGGAATAATAATTCTAATACTGAAACTACAAGTAGTACTACCTTGTTAAGTCAACTGGAAGCAACCTACCGCCATATATTAAAATTTTTGGTGACATTGACTAAATACCAGATTGAGATAATTATGTTTTGGGGTCAATTAACAATCCCTCCAAATATTAAAAGGTAACTTGTCCAGAAAGGTAACATATTTTGACTGAATTCTGTTCGGCCTTTTAAATGCTCCTGCTCTGCCCTTGGAGTACGAAAATTTTTCATATGAACTAACCGGGGGTCCCCACCACTGACACAACCCCTGAAATTTGTTGGAAATCGCATCAGCTGTTTTGAAGGAGTCGCATCTGTAAATTGGTCACACAGAACAAATAGACAGAATTAAGTCCTTGGGGAAGTTGGCCTGCTGGTCTAAAAACTGACCTTTCACTGGTGATCCAGGATTACTGTCAATATCCATTTCTACCTCTTCATAGTTATCTTGTAATTGGATGATTTTCTCACTTGTACTGAACAAATTGTCTTTTATGTTATTGTTATTTCTCTTGAAGGACTTGTTGGCAATCTAAAAATAAAACAAGCCCATAGTAAGGCAGTTGTCCCCACCCCCACCTTAATTCCCATCATAAATAATAATACAAATTATTCCAGATCAAGCAATTGTTAATCATATAATTATTTTGTCTTCTATGTTTAGCACCCCTTTAGCAACATAGTATACTGACAACTGACACTAAGATGGAAGTTTGTAATCGTAAGGTGAGATAAGCCGGAGTACTGTGTACTATACTAAGCAGCAAAAGAAACGTCAGGTTGGTATGTTACTCTGAATAGACACATTGCATAAAACTTGCCAAATGTTTTTATTGTATATATGTGACCACATCTCCAACTTTACCTCAGCAATAAGGCTCCTTCCCAAACACAGAATTGAACCCAGGAAATGTTCTCAAAAACGCAACCTGACTTCTGAGATGGTAATGTGTTCTCCATGATTTTCATGTAACTCATGCTGCACGTGCTGTTCACCGGGACCAGCCCTATAAAATGCACCCCCATACCTGGTTGAATCATTCACACTACGTCAGCAGCATGCCACGCCTCACGACAGCTCAGAGGAACCAGGCGCTTGGAAGATTTGACGCTGGCCACACTGCCCAAGCCGTTGCCAATCACTTCCAGGTCAATGTTCAGACCATCTACAAGCTTCAGCAACGCTTTCGGGCCACCAACACCATGGATGATCGCCCCCGAACTGGTAGACCATGCATTTCTACAAGACGACAAGACCACCATGTTGTGCGATAGCACATGCAGAATCCCTTCACACAGGCATCTGAGACAGCACGTCAGACAGTGGGAACACATGGAAGACATATAAGTACCGATACAGTGCGCCGACGTCTCACCAGAGGGAACATCCATTGCCGTAGACCTTACTGTGGACCGATCCTCACCCCTCGCCATCAACGTAAATATGTGGTCGACGTGGCCAGCATTATTCTGACCAATGTGTCATAGAACGAGACTCATGGGGAGGTCCAAGCATAATGGTTTGGGGTGGAATCGGCCTGAACCAGAGAGTGGGTCCTGTGATATTCCAAAATCTTGGTCCAGGGAGAGGAGGCGGCATCACAGCAGTGCGCTACATCGATCAAGCTCTCAGACCCCACGTCATACCACATTTCACACGTCATCGAAACAACATTTTCCAGCATGACAACGCCCGTGCCCACACTGCCAGAGTTACTGGGGACTTTCTACAACAGAACGGTGTCAATGTTATGCACTTGCCAGCCCTTAGTCCGGACTTAAACCCGATTGAACATCTTTGGGATGAAATTCAGAGGAGACTTAATAACGTTGTACCGAGACCAAACACAGCTGATGGATTGGGCCAGGCTTTTCTGAAATTGTGGTTTCAGGTGCCAATGGCGCTGCTATTATTGACACTCGAGGTGGACACACCAGATACTGATGTATAGACTGTGTACAGACTCTAAACCTTCTCGTAATGTCTTGGAATTGTGACGAATTAATCACTAATGTGTCAACATACTGTTCACAAAAAATTGCTTTGATCCATTTAGTAAGCCGTTTTCTAGAATGATTTCATTAAAGTGCCGCTCTGATTTTGAAATCGTACTGACTTTTTTTTTGCTGTTTAGTATATATAATAAACTTACATTTTTCTGAGACGTTAAAACATCAAAGGCATCAAGTTTAGATTGATCTCTTCGATGATAATTTAAATACTTCAAAAATCGTTCTGCTTGTTCCTCCGGGTCATCAAGAGATAAAATCTTTTGAATTTCACGACGCTGTTCATCTGATTCTATCCTTTTCCTTCTTTCATCATGTATTTCTTTCTTTAACCGAGATCTTTCATCCAAATGACGTTTCATATCTTCTTTTGCATTATGAGAAACTCCTCCATTAGAATAATTACTTTCTCTTTCTGTGAAGAAGTAAATGGGTAATTATATTGAACTAATATCAATGTCATCAGATGTCTCCCTCGGAATAGCATTGTGAATAAACATTCATAACATAAATATTGAAGGCACAACAAGCTAATCGTTGACATAGATCTCAGAAGTAGAAATATGTATTATTTTAATGTACAAGAGCATCGCTAACGCTGCAATATATGTTCACATTCCTGCTTTGATTGATATGGTACTTTTTAAAATAGGGTGTGGCTCTGCCCCAGGGGGTTGGGGCATTCACCAAAATAAACAGTTGACGCCCTTAGGCTATGGGGAATACATAGGCCAAGTACCAAGTTGATCCATTCAGAATTGCGGCCTCTAAACGATAAACACAAAAATTGGGCGTGGCTTTGCCCCTGGGGGTCGGGACATGCAGTTGTTGTCCTTAGTCTATAAGGAATACATATCCCAAGTTAAAAGACAATCCATTAAGAAAAAATGAAATGGGTATGGCTCTGCCCCTGGGGGTTGGGCAATCACCAAAAAACAATAGCTGTCATCCTTAGGGTATAAGGCATAGGTAGGCAAAGTTTCAAAAGGATCTGTTAAGAATTGCCGGCTGTAGGCGAAACACAGCCTTAGGGTATAAGGAATAAGTATAAAAAAGTTTTAAGACGATCGATGAACAATTGTGGGCTATAAGTGACACACAGACACACAAAAAGATAATGGGCGTGGCTCTGCCCCTGGGGGTTGGGCATTCACCACAAACAATAGGGATGTTCCTCAGGAAAAAAGGAATAAGTATGCAAAGTTTCAAAGTGATACGTTAACAAATGCAGTCTGTAGATGACTAACAAATAAATACAAGAAATGGGCGTGGATCTGCCACTGGGGGTCAGGCATGCACCAAAAACAATAGGGATCATCCTTAGGGTATAAGGAATTCATATGAAAACTTTTCAACACGATCGATTAAGAATTGTGGCCTGTTGACGACACACACAGACACACAAAGAGAAAATGAGCGTGGCTCTGCACCTGGGGGTTAGGCATGCACCCCAAACGATAGGGATGTTCCTTAGGGTACAAAGAATAAGTATGCAAAGTTTCAAGATGATATGTTAAAGTTACAATTTCATATTTTCTAAGAAAGTCAAAACATAATTATTTTTATGTCTTTTGCTCAATAGGTTGTCAACTCACTATTATACGATCTTTCTCACACTTAAAAATCTTCACACCGGAAATAAAAAAGCAAATACCTCCCAATTGCCTCTCTTGTTTTCCTATTCCCCACCATGGAATAGCTATCTTCAAACATTTGAATTTGAAGTTGAAAATTATACTTTTGCCAATTTCTCAACTGGCAATAGTGTATTATAGGATTAATAGGATTATTCTTTAACATGGAAGGACTGTTCATAGATACCATCTATTTTAGGGCTTTATTTTAATACATTTTAAAAATATAACTTAAAAATATGAAATTGTAACTTTAAGAAATGCAGCCAGTAGACAACAAACATATACAAGAAATGGGCGTGACTCTGTCCCTATTTTAGGGCTTTATTTTAATACATTTTAAAAATATAACTTAAAAATATGAAATTGTAACTTTAAGAAATGCAGCCAGTAGACAACAAACAAATACAAGAAATGGGTGTGACTCTGTCCCTGGGGGTCGGGCATGCACGAAAAACAATAGGGATCATCCTTAGGGTATAAGGAATAAGTATGTAAAGTTTCAAGATGATCACTTAAGAATTGTGGCCTGTAGGCAACACACAGACACATGCACCCACACAAACACACACACACACACAGAGACAGGGGCGACGGCAATATATACGTCCACATTATGAATGTGATTGTCAGTTTCTTTTATGGGTGTATCACTTCACATGATTTGATACACAGGTTTGATTGGTTAATTAAATTGGTTTTACTAACTTACCGCTTGTGGTTTGGCAAAATAATAATGGCAATCAAAAACAATTAAATAATGGTAATGACACAGATTTTGACAAACAAATCTCCTTGGATAAGGAGTAAGACACTGGCTCGCTAGCTTGGAGGTCTCGGGTTCGATCCCAGTGTTGGCCGAGAAAGTCCCTTTTAATTTTATGGTGTGGTTTCCCCTTATCTAAGCAAAATTTCCCTCATAGCGCACTGCCCAATCGAGGCAGAAAAGTAATACATTAAACCCCATTTCATTTCCTTGGATAAATTAAGAGGGTGCGACAGCTAAGTGATGATACTTATCATTTTGTTAATAATTGCTATTTGACCACTTGTTTGTTTCTGTTTACAATTTTGCTCCTTTTGACAAGCCTTCAAGTAAATAATATCCAGAAAATATTGAAATTTGTGGCTTAATAATTATTGTACCCTACCCTCTCTAAGAATGTGCACTTAAAATGCAAGATCCCCAAAACCTGTGAAATACCCAGGGTTGTAGCGGCCTCATAGTGATGCTTACCATCAGAATATCTCCAGTTTCTTTCACTATGCCTTTTCCTAGTTTCTTTGCAATAACGGCTATATTTTCTTCGTACAGACTGAGCCGGACTTTTATAAGTTGGTCTGTTACTAACATGTGTCATTTTATTTGAATCCAACAAACTCGTTGAATTCTTTGTGTTAAGATTATGCTTGTTTTTAATAAATGGTAAGGACTCATTTTTAGTTGATGCCAGAGCCAATCTCCTCAATTCCATTATCTCTGTGTCTTCTTCTTCAGAAACCTAAGAAAAGATAGGTTGCTAGGCAATGAAACATACATGCATAGCAGCTAAGTCATCCGAGCAGTCAACCAGGGTTGTCGCATATTTTTTCTTTTGTCACTAATGAAAGGAATTATAACACACTAAAACCTGATCATGAGTAACAACACATTAAAGATACATTATGGGAGATTTTTATAGAGAGTTGGCCATTCTTGCTATAACAGTTCAAAAGTAGATGATGAAAGAAGAATATATTGAAAAATTCAGTCAAATTACTTTATTCTGAACATAGTTATCATCGTTGTAATATTTGCCTAGAAATGGTAGCGAATTGTGTCTTCACCTTCGCTGATCGTTTGATTGACAGACGTTAACTCCACCTACATATCTCGATTATCAAGTAAAGTTTTCAATGGCATTCCGAAACGCTTTACAGCGGCCTCGCTAAGTACACTCTATCATTTAGCCTCGATCTAACTGACGTATTTTCATCAGGTTACCCCTTATTTGATTTAATCAATTAGTGAAATCCTATTTAAATCCCAGCTGTAGCCGAGCCATCCATGGGTCTACAGAGTTGATTTTGGTCTTGTTGTTTAAATAAAGATCTAATTTATAATTTCTATAACATCTAAAGCCTAAATTAAGACTTGCAATAATCAGATTTAGCTCTTGCATAATGCATGTTTAAGTAATTCATCTGAAATCCTTAGAATCTGTTTCGATTGTTTGTCTCATGACCTTAAACACTGTGTATAAGTCTCTCTAGCGCATCCAAAAGATTTCTCAAGTTATCAAAAGCCATAACTTTGGCAGTAATTATCGGAAATCGTTGAAAAGCAATAGGCATCGTCTTCGTCTCATGATCTTAAACACTGTGTATAAATTTATAATCAATCGAATATTAACTTTAGCCTCTAGCCCTCTAGAGTGTTAACAACAATTTTCAAAGTGATCAATAGCCATAACTCCGGTAGTAATAATCGGAAATTGTTGAAAATCAATAGGATTCTTTGTCTCATGACCTTAAACACTATGTATAAATTTAAACTATACATAATATATACATTATCTATACAATATATCACTGTCTGTACAATATATCACTGTCTATACACACCACCAGTTGACAAGTGTGTATTGATGGTCTAATTAACAGATGACTGGCTTAATCATAATCACTGAATTATTGTCTTGCGTTGTTATAGATTAGACATTTGTGATTGGAATATTTTAGAGTGAATTTAAAATGCTGTATCATGCCGTAGATCCATTTAAGGTGCCATTGTTTAAATAGGCCACGTGACAAATGAAGACGACCCAAGCAATTAGCACATTTACCCGTAATTTGGATAACCCCATAATATTTGATATCCCAAGCTATTCTCTATAAGTACAGAAATACAAATGGTGCCAGTCATTTGTCGATATATATTCATTATTAGCTATATATAATAATAATAACCATTTTAAAAGATATTTATAAAGAGAAAGATTATTGAAAAATATTCCCAAGTCCAAGAGTCTTAATTCCTATAAAAGTAGGTCAACTCTGATAACACTTGAATGATAACTTGAGTGATCAGGGGCCTTAGCTAAGAAAAAATTATCCAAAATAGTTGAGAGTAAATTCTTTGCCTCCTAAACATTATATCAATTGTATGGAGCGACTACATGCAACAGTGGCCGATGGACAGGGATGATGTGTAAATACCTTATGTGACGCTATTGAAGCAGTTTTAGGTTCAGATTCAGAATCAGCTGGACTCTTTTTTCTTAAATTATTTTTAGCTCCACTAAGGTGTTCAACTTTTGTTATTTGCACTTCGTTCATGTCATCATCAGTATTTTGTTGTGGACTGTTTGGTGACAACTCTTCTAACTCTGCTAACTGCTTTTGAATAATCTGATGTTGCCTGAGTAAATCTTCAAAATTATCTTCAACTGGTGTATCTTTCTTTGAATTATGAGCAGAAAACCGACTCATCATCGGTCGGTATGGAGCTAAAGTCAATTAAGGACATACATGTACATAATGTTTTAAGAAATGTAAAAGTGCCCTTAAAATTTGATATTTACATTAAAATTTGTCAGTGAAGGCACCCCTCCCATATCCCATTTATAAACTTTGTTTCAACAAATCTAAAAAAGCACCATCCAATTTAGCTATTAATTTTGGTTGAAGTTTAGATGTTGAAAATGTCCCAAAATATATAAATATACCTCTCTACTGTAAATTGACACCACCCCATCACAAATTATAGGGCCCACTCTCAATTCAACATTTAAGGCATTCACGGCAGAAGTATTTGTTCATTAAATATAGTCTAAGTTACATTTTTGATCTTGCTATGCACATTTATCACCGAGGTATTATTCAGGTCTTTTATCTTATGTATCATCCATTCAAGTAAATTCCAGCCGAATTGAAGGTTGTACTGTTTACTACATACAGTATCAACTTGATATGAATGGCCATGAGAAAGGTTGACTTGTTATAGTTCATAAATTATAAAGTTATAAATGTTTTAAGTTTTGACATGAAATACTGTGGCTGTAATTTGCAGAAACGGAAACTCTGACCACAGTTCATATTCTTGATTGTCTAGTAACCTACCATTGCCATATAAACAAAGCAATCTAATGTTCTAGAGAGTTGATTATGGGCCTGTCATTTCATTTGAATATATATCTGAATGATAATTTATAAAACATTTGATTGAGGCCAGAAAAACACCTGGCAATAGACAAGCTTTAGCTCTCATAGAATGCCTCTTTAAAGACCACATAAGGTGAAAAATCTAAATTGCATGTATGTATACCAATGGTTACTATATCCACTTTACGGCAAGTTCACACCAATCTGATTAAAATTAAATTGGCTATTAACCTTTAAGTATCTGACATGCCAAAACACTTTTCAATTTTTCAATTACGACCTTAATCTGGTTGATTGGCTGGTGACGTCACTGGAACTATACATAATATATACATTATCTATACAATATATCACTGTCTGTACAATATATCACTGTCTATACACACCACCAGTTGACAAGTGTGTATTGATGGTCTAATTAACAGATGACTGGCTTAATCATAATCACTGAATTATCGTCTTGCGTTGTTATAGATTAGACATTTGTGGTTGGAATATTTTAGAGTGAATTTAAAATGCTGTATCATGCCGTAGATCCATTTGAGGTGCCATTGTTTAAATAGGCCACGTGACAAATGAAGACGACCCAAGCAATTAGCACATTTACCGGTAATTTGGATAACCCCGTAATATTTGATATCCCAAGCTATTCTCTATAAGTACAGAAATACAAATGGTGGCAGTCATTTGTCGATATATATTCATTATTAGCTATGTATAATAATAATAACCATTTCTATAAACAAAGAATAACTTTTATCGTAACTCCATTTGAAATTCACAGTGAATATGGAATTTTCCGATGACTATGCATAACAATAGATCGCCCTTATTTATCAGCCAATCAACGCCGGGAATCTTATTACATGCATACTACGGGCGTTGTAACTGAGGTTAAATTTTGGCGCGAAAATTGCATGGGATTCATGGACATGCATATATCAAATACATGTGATCATACGTGGAGTTCCTGATGCCGTTTGGTGATTGATTAAACGGTCAATGTAGTTGTAAAATATCTTTATTATAAAGAAGTTAAACGATGTCGAACATTAAAACTAATTCTTATCACAACCGTTTATCCATCGAATAATATATATTCAGATTTCATATCAAGTCAATTAAATGTTGTTTTAATGCCAATCAACAAATAATACGAGGCTACTTTATTACAAACACATCGGCGAACAAAGCTATAAACAACTGATGAGTAAAACTTAATTATTTTATACAATTAACAAGTGTACGATTCTACGATTAGTTGTCGTGTGGAGAAATGTTTAGAAAAGTTCCCCCGTAAATTTTTTCGTTCATAAATGGGGTATTACACACACGTTCCACCTAACTAAATGTCTTTGATCTGGCCAGCGTAAACAAGATAATTACCTAATCTGCATTCTTAATCCTACATCGAGGTGTAAATTAATTTATGACCCCATGTCTGTGCAACTTTAGTCGGATTGATTAATGACAGATATTAACGAGACTACACTTGCCATATTATTATTATTACACGAAGATAGTTAGATGACCCTTCTCAATCTGTTATTCGATTTAGATGGTTAACAACAAAATTTATTTGTAATGTTAATTCTAACGTTTATTGAGTTATTTTTTCTTATTTCATTTCTACGGTCTATTTCCAAGTAATCAAGTCAAATCCACATGCAGAAAGAAAGACGCTGTACGATGGCTACAGTTGACTACTCTGTTAACGGATCGTCATATATACAAATCGTGTTTCAATCATGTTTGAATTTTATGATACATTGTGAAGGACCACATCTTTTTACTCCTGTACTCTTTTACTCGGGGAAATTAGAACCACAATACTCTTCTGATGGAAATGTATCTCGAATCGTTGGACTGCACACAATGGTAGAGGGACTCTTATCAAAAAGTCACTTTAAAACACAGTGTTAAAATCGCAGTCGTGAGAAGAGAGGGCGGGACATTACGAAACAAATGCTAAATTGGATTTTAAATTAAAATAAATTACAAAACAAATTATTCCATAGTCAATTGTTTTATTTAATTAGGGGATTAAGGAATCAGTCAGGCGTTAATGAATACACAGGCCGGCTGTATGTAGGTAATTAAAGAATAAACATTCCAAATATGCATTCGGTCACTGTGACGTCACTGGCGTCCGAGGGGATTAAGACAAGAGTGTTTTCGATAATTGGCAAAGTCGTTTTTACAGGAGGTCTCTTTTTGCGATTTTGAGTGAAGATAGCCAAATTAATATTAATCAGATTGGTGTAAACCTGCCGTAAAGTGGATATAGAAACCATTGGTTATACGTACCGAAAACTAATGTCGTCCATCTTATGTGCCCTTTAAATAAGCTCTCACATAATGCCTCTCTATTAAATAACATATCAGTTTTAAATAAAATATATGTCAAGCACAATGATTTATGATGCAGAAAAGGATACCTCCTCTATTATGTTGATTGGGGAATTGAGAAGGCGACAAAGGTATCTTATAATTCTGTTGCATTGGCTTTCTCAGAAATGATCTCCCTTTTGTATTGTTGTTACAAACTGGTTGTGGTTCTGTCATAGCATATGGGTTTTTATTTGTGCATCGTCCAAGTTGTGGTTGGATCGGTCTTGGAAAACCATTTGAATTTACGTTAAAATCCACTGGTCTGTTGCCTTGTTTATTATTCTGTCCGGAACGATGTCCACGCCTTTTTGTTCGCACAGGTTTATTGACTGATTGTTTTGGTGACCCTTCATGTAGACTTTTCGGTTTGGTAGAAGAAGATAACATTTTTAAAGAGGGGGAATAATTTTGATTTCGGCATAACATTAACGGACCATTGGCATTACTACTAGTACTACTAGGCTTGGTTTTCGAATGAATTTCAATTTGATTGTTGTACTGGAGCGACATGACTTCGTCTAAAGATACGTCATCGTCTGATAATTCACCTTCCTCTTTCGTGGATCTGTCCATATTGATATTTATAAGTTCTTCGTTCATATTCGCAGTTTAATCTTGGTTAGACAAGCAGTAAAACCTTTAATATCTCTTAACTAGCATTCGCTTTTCGGGTGGAAGCACCGGAAGATTACGTCCATATTGATATCTAAATATAGATAGACTGGCGATGCTGATGATTGGAGGACAACGACAGTCGGGGACATCATGATATAAGCGGCCCAATTCTTCACCTTGTAGAGATAGGTTTATTCAGATTTTCCCAGCGAAATTCAAATAAATTAAATGCCCAGTCCGGTACCTTGTTTCACTTTGGTTTTTAAACTGAACGATGATATTTTTATTTAGTCTGACCATTGATTGACCTTTTACCGAGGGTCCGACAGGGGACATAAAAATATAATAATTATTAATAATGATAATATATTATTCAAAGAGAGGAAATAGCCAAATAATAAAATATATGAATACCGGTAATACTACTACTAGTAATAGGCCTATAGACAATGCAAAGTACTACTCTACTAGTAGTAATTATGCTAATTGTACTTGTAACAAGGGAGGATAAATATAAGTAGGCCTATGGCCCTATGCACTAAAGCTTAAATTCAGACCGATAAAGATAAACGTCGGCTCCTAATTAGGCCCCTAGAGTAAAAGGGAGATAAATGCATCTGACCTCTGTATAATAATAAACTTCATTATCCAATCATTCTTGATGGCCAAAGGGGAACATGGTACAGATCAAAGCGAGAAAACCCAAATGTAAGTCAAATAATAATAATAAAATATGACAATATACAAAATAGCATGACTCCCACTTTTCCCGGATAGTTGAACCAGGTCCAGGGGAGATAAATCGATAAATAAGTACCGTAAATGGCGTAATGTAATTATTTATAAATATAGGCTATAATGTAGCCTACCGGTATGCAAGTAACTAGCTACGGCGGGTTGGATCTATTTCGACATGGCCTAAAAGGTCAACTTCAAGTTTGGTCTAAGGTCACGAAATGTAAACAGAGCTAGCCCTAATCCCAACCCTATCGCTAACCCTAACCCTGGACCAAGCCTAACCCTTACCCTAACGCACAATCTCTATATATATATATATATATATATATAATATGACGTCATATCTGCAGGACAAATGTGCACAGTGTCATCCCTCACGGTGATAGTACGACCAAGCTAATATTTACTGCTGATCCGTTTGGAAAATTACTAGTCCGAATCCTTATAATTTATTAGAGTTATCTGGCTTTGTTTACGTTAGAAACAAGTCTATGAATTTTGTAAAATTATAATAAGAAAGTGTAGGCCTAATGGTGTATTAACGTAAGTTTAGGTATTTCGAGTAATATGTTACATTATGTAGCGGCGTAGCCTTCATCATATAGGCTTACATACAGTCACGGATTCGGTAATGGCTGTCATAGACTAGGTCAACAGGATAGATAGGGTGACTGCTTTTTCGTTTTTGGCAAAAATAAATAAAAAATACCGGTAATACGTTTGCAATCATAATGGGCCTAATTAATTTATGATTGTGGGGTGTTTTGGTGAAGTCTGTTACTATTAATGTGCTTATGGTAGTTTTGTAGGATATGATTTAATATCATGTCGACATGGTTTTCATCTTTGATGATTAATATTTGTAGTATAGACCCTACTATTTGACTGAGTACTATATTTTAACTTATAGTAGGCCTAGTAATAATACTAATTATCACTCAGATATTTTATTACTTTTGTACACACATGATACAAGTTTTTGGTATGTGAAATACGGTTATGGGGGCAAAAATGTAGGCTTTTACTTTTTTTGGTTGGAAGCCGCAGTGGCTCAGTGAATAAGACAGCTCACTAACGTTCGCTCGTGGTGTTGGCCTAGGAAAGGATTTTCTGGCAAGGTTTCTCATAGCACACTGTGTTTGCCATCATTAGTCCAGTCTGTGCAGAAATGTAGAACTTTAAGCCCCATGTCATTTATTGGTTCAAAAGGCATTCATGTTTTAACCTAAAATGACTATTACTAGAAAGAATTGATCGGTTTGAAGAATATTTAAAGTAGCTAAATCTCTAACTCAATATCATCCAAAGTCTTACACGTTAAAAACACAAATTATTTCTCAATTCAAATCAACATTGATGTTGTGATCTTACCGGGAAAAGATAGGCTTCTGATATACCCAATATTTAAGATAAAATAAACATTTTACCATCGTGTACCATAGTGCGTTTCAGCGTCATGTGTAACAAGTGACCAGAAAGAACGAGGCTAGACATATTTCACAACTAATTCAAACAGTGACGCCTTGAGAGCATGCACAATAGACTGGAATAACCAGACGCTAGAAATAGCGATTCGGTTGAGACTCATGCCGTATTTTGCTGGAGATAACTGATTTGAAATTAGAGTCAAAACGGAAACAATTGAATGTAAATCAGTTTATATACAATCAGATTACATTATTATATGCGTTGCGACCCATTTGGGTCAATTTCTAGGTCTCAAATATTAGCGATTTAGCTCCTTTAAACCAAAATTTTTTTAAATGGAAGGACTCATGATTGTGATTTATCTTAACCTCTATATTTAGCCTTGTTTCTGGGATGATTTTGTATGGTCTTAAGCTCTATATTACTCTGATATTAATAAATATGGTGTCATTCTGTCGGTGGTTCCATAAAACTAATTATAATCCAGTCTGATTAAAACGCAGATCCTATTTCCGTTTTACTTGCCTAAACACTACACTAGGATCAGGAAGAGTTGTTATAGTTATATAACCTGCGTTCTGGTTGAAGTGAGGGATTAGCCAATAACGGAACTGTGGGTATTCACAAGAAACATCAATGCTGATTGGTTAATCAAATGTCTGACATCATAGGTAAGGGTCAAAAGCCACTTGTATGACCCCCTGAAGTGACCTCCCACTGCAAATGGTCAGATTTTTATGTAGTAGAGGCCATCAAAAGTATAAAAAGACAAAATGAAATATAGATCTGTATTCTAATCAGATTGCTTATAATTTTTCCATTAGTTTTCAACATATACTATTCAAAAAAAGTAGGGGATATTTGATTTTGGGGGCATAATACTAAAATATGCAAATGACTACGAAAAAAGTCACTACAGAACCTAACAGAAGAAACATTTCCAGTTACATGTGACGCCCAAACGCACCAATAGCTACCGCATGGAATGCAGGTGATGCTTGGGATCATCATGGGGGTCCAACCCAAGATTTGCACGACTCTGACTTTGAATGTTACAGTCATTGTGGCATTGAATTCCAGGGTGGAAACATCAGTTTAATTGTTTTAGTGACCAGAAAACAAATTTTGATATGCGTCGGCTTACCCAAAATGAAAGGTTACGTGCCCTTGGCATGCTACAGATCGACACAACACAGGCGGTTGTGGCGCGGACGATGAATGTTTCTCAGTCTGTCATAAGCAGGCTATGGTCCAGATACCGTGATACACAATCTGTACAGGACAGACCACGCTCAGGTCGACCAAGGGCGACAACTCAAGCCCAGGATCGATTTATCCGTACCTTGGCCTTGAGAAATCGTGTCATCACAGCAAATCAGATCAGCGCTCGTCTTCAAACAGACACTGGTGTGAGAGTGAGTGGCCAGACGATTCGGAATCGACTGCATAGGGGTCACCTTCGCGCCCGACGTCCTCGCGTGATCCCTTGTTTGAGAGATCATCACATTCAGGCAAGACGTCGTTGGTGTAGGGATCGTTAACACTGGGATAATCGACGCTGGAGCAATGTGATGTTTTCAGATGAGTCAAGGTTCACTGTTGATTTTTTGGACAGACGTAGGAGGGTGTGGCGTCGTCGAAACGAGCGCTTCCAAGACGTTAACGTCATCAGACATGATCGATTTGGGGGTGGTTCTGTTATGGTGTGGGGAGGCATCACTGTTGCTGGAAGAACGGCTTTACATGTTGTTGCAGGACGTGTTACTTTACAGGCCAGTACTACCGGGACAACATCTTGGCAGTCCATGTTGTGCCGTTCGCACGACGTCATGGCCGCCGTTTCATCTTCCAGGATGACAACGCAAGATGTCACAGGGCCAGGATCGTTACAGGTGACCTCCAGCAACAGAACATCACCACATTACCTTGGCCAGCACTGAGTCCCGACCTCTCCCCCATCGAGCATGTCTGGGACATGCTTGGACAGAGGTTACGTCAACGTCAACAACGTCCTGCCAATGTCCAAGAACTTGCTGCTGCGTTGCAACAGGAATGGGACAATCTGGACCAAAATGACCTTAGACGTCTCATTAGGAGTATGCCACGTCGGATCAATGCTTGTTTGGCAAACAGAGGAGGATTTACCCGTTACTGACTTGGTTGTGATGCTGTGGTAACTTTGCTGTTTGACCCCGGGTATCATTTTACCCTTATAATGGTCAGTCTGTGCCTTACTTAGTCTAACGATCATTTGGAATAAATCGATGAATGTGAACTTCATTTCATTTTGTCATTTGTTTCTTCGTCAGCTTCATTAGGTGACTTTAATAACACTTAAAAATCAAATATCCCCTACTTTTTTTGAATAGTATATATAATTTCCTTTTTTCATCCATGCGCAAGTTACACTTTTATTTTTCTATTGACTTTAAAATCACAGTAGCCTTACTTATATTTTCAGGGCTTCATAAATATGAATCAGCTACAGAGTCTGTTACATGATGCATTAATATCAACAGATAATGTACAACAATGTGCTATCATCAGACGCAAAGATTTGTCAGTCAGGGCCTGTTCCGTGGGGTTACATGTAAGTGGTTTTGTGTTGAAAAGTATAATTTTGAGACATGAGAGTCTACTACATAATTGAATAATATTCCAAAAATCACAAAATGGGACATTATTAGTTGTCAATTACTTTTGTCTATAATAATTGTAAAAAATGGATTATTCTAATAGTAAGTATAGTAAGAAGTGGTGACTTGTTTTAAGTATATTATACATGTTTTAGACAGGGTAGACAAGTCTTGGCCATTTCTGAGTGGGTCATTTGCCTGAAATCTGGACTCATTTGAATTGTCGATAGTGACTGGAGCCAGATACACACGGGAATATACTGTGTGTTAAGACGTTGTTTTCTTAGCATGGTCTTCTGACCTAAGGTGAAAACTAATTAAGACAGATCATCCTTGGATGGCCTATAGAAATGCAAATGAGTTATTTCATGGTTACTTACATTGAGAGATGATTTGTTATTTTTTCTTATTTACTCTGTGAAATATTTTATTTTAAGGATATGTTTCCATGATCAATAATATTATACTGATCATAACATATTTTACCTGTTCTTATCTGTGATATGTTTTACATACCAAAAAACACCCATTACGGATGTTACATTAAAAGGACAAACTTAAGGGTTAGTAAAATCAAACCCGAAGATGATTTAGCTGTCTAATTTATTAGTTTCTTCTTTCCACTGGAACCCACACATCTGACACAGTTATATGGGACAATAATCACTGGTTTATTATACACAAGCACAACCACTAAAGGATTATAAACCCACACATTTTGGGACCTGCCTTAATATAGCCAAACAAATCATAGTCTGTCATACATTAAACACCTTTTTAAGCAAGCTTCTTGTTAAATTCCTTGTTATTTACAGTTATATCAAGATCAAGTTCAACTGTTGTTAGATTTATTTAGAAATCCACCACAAACACGAGAAGAAGGGATCTATTTTGATGACAGACAGTATAAATGTGTAAGAGCAGACAAAAATTCTATTTATGGTAAATGTGTAAGTATTGTATGATATATATTTATTAGCTCATGCTGTCTTTGGTGAATGTAATATTAAAATAAAATCTTATCTTACACCCCCCACCTACCTCCTCCGCTTTCCCAATAACCTTATGAACGTGATAGAGGCTACAATTTTTAACTGGTTTTTTTTTCAAGCTTGTGAGCACGATAGATATCTGTTTTCTTGACAGCCTTATTAAATTTGGTTAACATTCAAGTTTTTCTTTCGTATAAGCTGCTGTCTATGTGGTTATTGATTTTGAGAGACATAGCTGCTGTGTTAGCGTATTTTCATGCTTTGAGTGGCTATCTTATGAATATTTTGACAGACAGCCCTATTTGTCCATTCAGTTTGGCTTTTAATGCAAATAAAACCAACAGAAATTCATTTGGCTGAATCACATATGTACTAAACAAGTAGTAGACCTGCAAGCCTAACATTGTGCTTGAACACAAATTATTGAAATAAAACAATTATACAATGGTTATTCTGAAATAACATGGCTAAACCTTTTCTCTCTCTCCTATCTATATTTATATATAATCTGATAGTAGTGATTGTTCTCAAATGTTATTTCCATTTTCTTTACAGAATGATAAAGGATTAATATTAGTAAGGACAGCAACATTGCTCTTGGTAGCTACTTATACAGAGAGTATGTATCCTAGTGTTTGTGTTGAAGCTGTGGAGAAATTAGGTATGCATCCTCTAAGTGGCATATTTATTTTGTCTGGGATTCCAAAATATTGGGCGCCTCATAATTAAATTGAAACAAAATTAAAAATTGTAGGCATAAGGAGGTTACACAGATGTCATATCTTAATAGGTTAAATCTATAAGACATTTAATAAAACATAAATTTACATAATAAGGTTATTTTCATCTGGACGTATATTGTCGTTGCCCTATCCACCTGGATATCCGCCTGTCCGTCCACAATTTGTTTGTGGATACTCTACACATCACAGTGTTTATGCAATATTGACAAAACTCGAAATATAAGTTTATCTCCAAAAGATCTCTGGTTCCTTTCGATATTGGCATATATATCACTGTTGCACCATAATAAAGGTTGAGTTTGAATTTTTGGAAAATGGAACCGATACTGCCCGACAAAATGTCCGCTCCTTGTCCGCAAATTGTGTAAATGTATGTAATACGAAGGTTGTGGACCCCCTAGAGGTCACAATTTTTGTTTGATTTTGATGCAACTTAAAATATATCTTTACATCCCAAAGATCTCAGCCCTTTCAATATTCACACATTTCAGACCATAAGTTCCTGGATCATGGCCCCTGATTGTACGAATCATTGCATTTTTTATTTAGCTTGCCAAATGTGGGTGTATCTTGCCTGGCATCCACTTTTTGTTAATATTTTTGACAGCAAATTAAAAATCTGATGTAAAGATATCATCAAAGTAAAATATGAAAACAAATAACAGATATAATCTAGAAAAAATTACCTTATTCCATTATACGGATTGTTTTCAAACTTGCAAAGCTGTTTGATAGTCTTGATAGTAAAATTATGGCAGTGCAAAATTAATGACTGATCGATTTTGATATTTCGCTTTCACTTATGGCTTTAATTGAACAGTTCTATGTCACATTGTATCCATGAGAACATTGAGTAATTCACATTTAAACCAGATTAAGTTTCATGATGTAAATTCATTAAAAATAGTCTGTGAATAGCTAGCTAGGAGGAACCACGGTAGCTCAGTGGATAAGAGGCTGCCTCATCAATAAGTTCCGGTTTCCTCCCACTGCTAAAGACCCCTATGCGCAAGCGAATTATTGAAATAAAATTAAACCATATGTTAGTCCCGAAATGACCTAGTTGTGTCGAGTGGACGTTAAACCCCATTTCTCTCTCTCTCTCTCTCATCAATAAGTTGGAGGGTCAAAATAGTTGCTTTCATTATGCAAACTATCCCTTGTTTCATTGACTGCCATTTCCCAAAAGGTGGCCATATCTGCCTTGACGACCACATGTTAACACCTTGTGCTTGTGAAATGAAATTGGGTTTGAACTATTAGATACAGGACTTAAGTACACATTAAAAATTAATTTTTTGTCCCCCGCCTTTCGAAGTAAACGGGTTACTATTAAAATGAGTTCGTCCATCTGTCCGCCGAACCGCCTGTCTGTCTGTCTGTCTGTCTGTCTGTCTGTCTGTCTGTCTGTCGGTCCGTCCGTCCGTCCGACATTTTGGGACACAATAACTCTCTTTCTAATTAAGCTAGAATGTTCAAACTTGGTGTAGGTGTGTATTAGGTCAATGCCTTGATGGAGTTCGAAGATGAGCATTTTCTGCTTAGGGTAAGCAGAGATAAGCAATTTGATTGGTTGATGCTTTGGGACACGATAACTTTAGTTCTAATTAAGTGAGAGTGATGAAACTTGGTGTATAGTTTCATTACATCAATACTTTGACTAAGTTCGATAATGAGCATATTCTACTCGGGGTAAACAGAGCGATAAGCAATTTGATTGGCCGAGACTTTGAAACACAATAACTCTCATTCTAATTGTGCTAGAATGTTCAAACTTAGTGTAGGTGTTTATTAGGTCAATGCCTTAATGAAGTTCGGTGATGAACATTGTCTGCAGAGATAAGCAATCTGATTGGTTGATGCTTTGGGGCACAATAACTTTGATTATAAAGAAGTGAGAGCGATGAAACTCTGAATATAGATTCATTATATCATTACCTTGACTAAGTTCGATGGTGAGAATTTTCTGCTTAGGCTAAGGAGCAATAAGCAATATAATTGATTGGTCAAGACATAACAACTCTGCTTTTAATTGAAGTAGAATGTTTTAACTTGATTTAGATGTTCATTAGGTGATCATGTCTTGACTGAGTTCAATGATTAACAGTTCGAGCTAAAGCTAAGCTGAGCTAAACAATTTCATTGGTCCCTGCTTTGGGACCAGATAACTTTGATTCTATCTGATAGAGAGTGATGAAACTTAGTGTATAGTTGCTAATCAGTTTGATTAATTAATGTGTCATCTGTTTATTTTAGCATTTCGGTGGGGGACATCAGCCTCACTGTTGGCTTGTTTTTTATATTTTCAGCTGATTATTTTAAAGAGAAGGGAAAATAAGTCATTACCGGATTACTTGTTTTACATGGCAGCAGATTTGATGTTATTTTATTTGTATTGAATTAATTCAAGACAGTGTTCTGTTCATTCAACGTTTTTGAATTAAAATGAAAACATATTCAAATGTATTGTTAGTTGTATTATCATATTAAAAATATATATTAACATACCAGGTGTAATTAAACCATTTGTTTCCATCAAGGGTTAGTCACAGTATTTGACTTTGCCTATAGTCCATAAACTGTCCCTGTCTGTCCATCTATCTGTCACACTATTGAGGACACAATAATCCTGCTTCTTATTGTTGTATAATTTTAAACTTAGTGTATGTGTTTATTAGGTAAATACTTTGACAGAGTTCATTGATTAACATTTTCTGCTAAGACTAAGTAGAGATACTCAATTCGATTGGTTGATGCTTTGGAACAGGATAATATTGATTTTAATTGAGGGAGAGTGATTTAACTTGGTGGACAACAGGGATGGCACTTTCACCAAATATGTTAAATCAGGTACCTAGTATAGATCTAAAGTGTTTGCAAAATGTTAAGCTATATTAGTTGCGTTTTAAATCATGATTCATATTGATCAGATGATTATTATTAATTATGAGGTGCGATTTACTTTAATGTATGCTGTAATCTTACAACCACACAGAATTGTATAAGTATGTAAGAATATTCACAGGTATGTTTTTCCAATTTCCAATCTATCTGCTTTACATTAAACTATTCTCGATCTCCCATTTTTCTTTACTTAAAGATACATTATGTTAGATTTAAATAAGAAGCTAGCCATTCATGCTATAATAGTTCAAAAATAGATAATGTAAAATGAATAATGTGAAAATTTCATTCAAATTACTCTATTGTGAGCAAAGATATTAGCCTTGAAGGTTTGACAAGACGTGTGCAATAATTTCAACCACTGTACTGGTTGTTCGAAGCTATGTCTCTCTCCTCCATTCTTAGCTTAAATCAAAATATGGCTGAACTGTTCTAATCTATTTAATATCGGAGAAATCCGATGCCACCAAGAGTTAATTATGGCCTGGATAAGTTAATGTCTAATTTAATAATTTAGAAAATATTTCAGGCCTAAAGAAAGACCTGCAATAGGCAGATTTAGCATAATGTATGTTTAAATTAAATGTTTTAGCTTAGATCACACAATTTGGTAATTTCAATATTTAATTTCATCAAATAGGACAATTTATTGCAATATAACTGTAGTATGTATGTATGTATGTATGTATGTATGTATGTATGTATGTATATGTATGTATGTGTTAGATCTTTTCTGGTTAGATAATAGCACTGTTAACATGGTTGTTATGTTACAGAATACGAAATATAAAACTACCAAAGCTATATCCAGGCACTGGTGTGTATTTTAAGTGTGATTAATGGTCATCTTAACTGCGTTTGGCACTTTGTTAAGATTGCATAGACTTTTACTAAAGTAATCTTATTCATGTCAATCTGACAGCATTTTCTCACCCAATCAGTGGCGGCGCCAGCCGTCGGTGGTTGGAGGGGCAAAGCTGGGGCAAAGTCCAAGGTTAAGGGGGCAAAGGCACGAGCTTCAACTAGGGGTCAGGAGGTCTCCAAACAATTTTGAAAAACGGGCTGCCGGAAATGCAGCCTGGCAGTATTTCATGCACTGATCGTTGAGGTAAAGTGTCAAACTAACGGACTTGCGAACCGCGACAAAGCCCGTTCACGAGCGCCAAATGGGAGACCTTCCACAGAAAATTTTGAAAAATAGACTGCGGGAAATGTTGTCTGACAGTATTCAGTCAGGCACCGATCGTCTAGATAAATAGATCTGACCAGATACCGTCCGTCGCCTGATCACTAGTTTATCCGCCAAAAAGAGAACAAAATGTCAAACGAACGGACTTGCGAACCTCAACGAAGTCCCCTTGTGAGCGCCAAAGTAGCGAGTCCTTGTGGGGGTATTGGGGAAATGCTGTCTGACAGTATTCAGGCACCGATTGTAGAGATAAATAGAGCTGATCAGATGCAGTCTGTCGCCTGATCACTAGTCTATCCGACCCCAGCGAGGAAAGTGTCAAATGAACGGACTTGCGAACCTCAACGAAGCCCCCGAAATATTGACTGTCGGAAATGCAGTCTGGCAGTATTTCAGGCATTGATCGTCGAGATAAATAGAGCTTACCAGATACCGCCTGTCGCCAAATCACTAGTCAAACGGGCGGAGTGAGTGACTCAAAGTGAATGAATATTTTCGCCACGATATTTTGTGACATAGACTGCCGAAAATGCAGCATTTCAGACACTGGTCGTCGAGATAAATAGAGCTGACCAGATACTGTTCGTCGCCAAATCCCCAGCTTACCCGAATAGAGAGCGTGGTGTCAAACGAACGGAGTGAGTGTATCAAGTGAATGCATATTCTCGCAGCGTTGACCTATAGGTTTACAGCAGGATGGGCTTGGTAAAAAAATCACTCAACAGACTCTACAACATGCAAGTTTATGACTGAGTGGGGATGTGGGATTTAATCACTGTAGAAGGTATTGATTACCGAAACGTATCACAAATACTTTTTTTTATTTTCTGCACCCAATTCCTACTTATAAACGGTTTAAAACTCCAGTGACTTAATAACTGCTTCTTTATTCAATTGGGATATAAGTGCTAAATCAGGTAAATTTATCACAGTTTTCCCTATTAATATGTTTTGTTTTTTGGTTACAAAAATTTTGTTACACCCAAACCTGTGCCATGAATATACTTTGAGGATGCTGCTGAATTACAACTTAATTAAGGACAAATTTATGGAAAATGATTTCTGACATATAATGTACACAGTTTAATACATATAGAGCCTTGGACAATATATCGGTATTCGTTTTTGAATGGTACGATGAGAAAACCTCTAACACCACAAATAATTAAAGATGCATTATGTAAAAATTAGAAAAAGAGCTGGACGGTCTTGCTGTATAATAGTTCAAATGTAGTTTATGTAAAATGAATATATGGAAATTTTCAGTCAAGTTACTTCATTCTGTGCGAAGTTATAAGTGTTGGACGTTTTCACAAAATGCAGGGTTGATTGTTTATTGTAGCAGCAGTCTCGTTTATATATTTTATCTTTAACCCCATAAATGGCCCCGGTGTTCTTATCTACTTACATCGGGGCCATCCAATGACCCATAGATTTCATTATGGGCTTCAAGTCATGTTAACTTTGATTGCTTGATACGTTTGAAAAAAAAAAAAATGTGCGATTAATTAATATGTGCCATCTATTTATTTTGGGGTTTCGGCGGGGGACATCAGCCTCACTGTTGGCTTGTTTATATAACATTTGAAGCCAGAAAAAAAAAACTTTCAATAGGCAGATTTAGCTCTTACATAATGCATTTTTAATAGACTGTCAGAAAGGAAAATGATAAAAATGAAGATAAATTACTGGTAATGAAGTATTTGTAATAAATTATTCCATATGAAACACATAATAAAATAAACGATTTTGAACAATAAAATTTCCAATTTGAATCCAAAATTACCAAACTTAAGATAAGTAGATATAATTGTACATGTACAATAGTTGCTGATAATGTAATATCCCTTGATGGGTTCAAATGAGTCTGATGTTTGTAAAAAATATCAACATAATGAAGCATTCTTTGATTATCCAGTTAAAGTTCATTTTGGATGTAAAAAGTATCTAATCTAAGGGACGGAATGTATCAATAAAACATTATCAGAAATCACCAAAAAATGTGTTCTTCTTCAAGTGAATGATAATAATATTGCTATTCAGTTGGGTATACATTCAACTGTTTAAAAGTAATAATACAAAAATAAAAGCAACCCTTTACTTTGGGCGAAATAATTTTTTGGCATACATTACAATTACAATTCATCAAAAATGTATGCTTTGGTAAAATTTAATGATGTTATTGCTGTGGTCCCATCAACTTGGTGTGTTTGGAAAAAAATTTAATGGCCAACTGCCACCATCCGTTAACATGCCAGGGAAATTGACAAAACTTGTACAATGCCATGCATCTTGTAAAATTCTGGTTAAAAGTGGTTAGTGTAATTTGTACTTTGATAGGAATGAAAATAAATGGATAGACTGCATATTGCAATGAACAACTTATTATTTCACTGTCAGCAACAGATCGCGATTTATTAACCATTCTGGAACTAAATATTCAACATCAAGTAAAATAGAAATATAAAATATTTTGAATATACCATAATTATTTGAAAATCACAGGATGTGTTTACCTTAAAGCTTTGAAAAAATCTTTGTTTTTCTTATTTTGTGGTTTAAAGGGTGTCCAGAAGACATTGACCACATAATTGGGACACGTTCATTAGGACATTGGGGAAGCCCAAACAAATTTTAAAATTTCGGATGGTATATTTTAAATAGTTGTCTTTCCCTTCACTTTAGACTTTTAAAGCCCGCGAGCGGCACAAGCTCTAGAATTATGGACTGCAGCGATATTACTCTTGAAGATAGGTTTCCAGGCAACGAAACATGCGCGTTACAGAAGCTAAATCGTCCGACGGTTGACAAGGGTTGTCGCATATTTATTCTTTTGGAGGTAATTGGGGACATTTACAAGACAATTTCATACAGATCAGATTATAATTTTCGACGTTCAAATTTCCACAAAGTGAAACAAGGGCCATAACTCTAGATTGTAATCAAAAGAAATCGCTGAAATTCAATAGGATTCTTCTTTTATATGCCCACATTAAAATGTGGTCGTAAATTGTCGTCGTCCCCACCCGTCCGTCCGATGAATCCTATTGATTTTCAACGATATTCGATAATTACTGTCAGAGTTATGGCCCTTGATCACTTCAAAATATCTTGTGGGCGCTCTAGAGGCTAAAGTTAATATCCGATTAACTTTAAACAGTGTTTAAGGTCGCAAGACGAAGAAGCCCAGTGATTTTCAATGATTGTCGATAATTAATACCAGAGTTATGGCCCATGATCACTTTGAAAAATCTTTTGGATGCTCTAGAGACCAAGGTTATCATCTGATTGACTTTATATTGATACACAGAGTTTAAGGTCTTGAGATGAATAAGTATATTGATTTTCAATGAATTTTGATAACTTAAACAGCTAAGTCTATGATATTAAATGTTTCGTATACAAAACGATAGCATGGGGCAGAACTAACAGCCAAACAACTTCTAATGATTCTCTGATAATTACTTAATGAGTTGTTACTCTTAATCAGATTTTAGTGTATTATAAATGTTTCATTACCGACAATAGAAAAAATATGCGACAACTGTTATTGACTGCTCAGACGACTTAGCTGCTGTGGGCGTATGTTTCGTTGCCTGGCAACCTATCTTTACTAATTTAAATGACGCATATATATTTCATACAGATCGGCAGAAAACTTTTGATGTTAGACCGTTCACAAGGTGCAACAAAGTGAAACACGGGACATAACTCTAGAAGTTATTAACGGAAATTATTGAAATTAAATAGTGTTCTTCATCTCACTAATGTAAACAACATATATCAATTTTAAAACAATCGGGTGATAACGTTTGGCGTTAGAGCGTTCACAGGAAATTGTGGACGACGGACCGACAGACGGACGGATGGGGTCGACGGCAATATACATCCACATTTCTATGTGGGCGCATGAAAACGAAAAGAGAATCATTGTAAAACGTATCTCTGACTGTTGCTCTCTCTCGTCGACTTACACCCAATGAACTTAGATTTATGTAAATTCCACCCGTTGCCTTAATACGAAAACAAAACATTAGAGATAACATTGTTTTATCAACCACTCGAGATTACTTAGTGAGACTAGAATTTCGGGTGAGTAAAGTACATACATTAGAATGTCGTTCAGCAGATAAGTAACATCGACAGATTTGTATGTTCCGTATTGAATACAGGTGTGTAATTCTAGTAATGTTGTAAGTTGTTTTATAATAGATCAAATTAATGTGTTAGTCTTGAGAAAAATATGTTGATGGATGGAATATGCAGAGGCATCGTCAGTAATTTGCAATGGTCACGTGAACACAGAGGATGCAAATTTTTACAATTCAGTGCATCATCAGTAAATCTAATACCAAATTTTGACTAAATGGTTGGAAGATCTTTTCTTTGTTGTCTAACGCAAAATAGTCTGATATTGTGGACGAGTATTAAACATTCGTGCTTGTATACATTTTTAATTTAAGTCTGGAACAGGAGGGGCAGTGACGGATCAGGACAGGAGGTTGCCGGGGCCCCAGTGACAAGATGACACCCTAAAAGGGGGGGGGTCTCCTCTTGGGGTTTAAGGGGTCCAGGGGTCCTCCCCCGAGAAACTTTTTGTAATTTCGACCTGAAATGGTGGTCTGTGGTGTATATCCCGGACGGAAAGTCATATACTTTGTTCTAAGTAGAAAAAACTATCGCAGAAAGGGGCCAGTGGGAAGGGGGCCCACTGGCAGTCCGGGCCTGATGATATCGGTTCGCGATTCTTGTCAAGGGAGCTGGTTGAGTGAGAAACGGGAGCCCAACGGAAATATTGGACTATTAACAAGACCGTTACATGTCAACCAGAAATAATATTTCGGGTTTCGGGTTATGGAAACATCTCTGATATCAACTACCTAATAATTTTGAAAACTCATCGAAAAAAGGTCTCCACTCAAGTGGCATTATAGCCTACTATTAAATGAGAAGTGACATAAGGTGTATATTGTTTCATGCAAACGAAAAAAATTCACCAAAGAAAAGGAGGCCTTCTTTCATGTTTGAAGAATAAAATCCATAGGTATAATCGATGTCGGTACGAGCCCCCACTACTTCTCCCGCTTCTACCACACCGAACCGCACAAAATAGATCGAACAATTTGTATGGTGAAACGATGTCATTTCTATTACAATGTCATCTGAAATCAACAATTTGAGAGATGTATAGATTATACATTTTTTATTTTCATGACCTAGTTTATGTCTTCTACTAAGTTTTCAGTACAATTGGAAACAAGTATAGAATTCTAATTCAAAGCAACTTTTAATCTCTTGAGGCACGATCAATAAATTTATATTGCATGTATTCATTTCTTAACATGACATTCTATATAAATGGGTTTGTGTGTGTGTGTATATATATATTGATTGAAACGTCTGGTACTTGATTAATATAAAGGAGAGATTAGAAAAGGCAATAGGTTATTTTTAACATTCGGGCATCAATGAAGGGAATAAAACCAAAGGAAATCGTTACATTGATTTATTATATTTTATAGTGATTGAAGTTTTCTTAATACAGGTATACAGAGCTTCAGCTACAACTGGCTTCATAGGTTTTATTTGATCTTTGTTGTTGGCAGTGGAGAAACTTTAGGCTGAAGCAACCGAGACGTTCGACCTTATGCTTCTGTTGTAGGATTTTGTTTTTAATTTTTAAGATTATAAAAGTGATTGGAGTTTACCAAGAATGTGTTGCTACAAGAAGAAAACTTAATTTTGTATCTGTTTTAATATTTACAGCCTATTTTGGACCGTTTAAAATGTCGTGCTTCGTGAGACCGTAAGCGTACATTATTCACACAAATGACTCTGCGTTGTATATCAATTTTTGTATAGTGTACCAAATTATTTGAAAGGAGGACGTTTAAAACAAAATTACTTTGATAGATACATTCGTGAATAATTGAGGATTATCGATGAGATTTACGGATAATCGAAGGAAAAGTTACAGGTGTTTGGGGGAGTTCGGGAATGGAAGTTTGAGATGTAATGATTTTAGAAGAGAAAAATCGAACTTCTCATCAGACGTTGAACAACTGCACAAAATAATTCGTGAAAATTCAGATCTTGCGGATGTGTACCAACACCGACAAGTTAGTTTTATGGGCAAGGACTCGCGATTGAACAATGCAAATACAGCTAAATATTTGAATCCTTATTCACTGAATGTCGTCAGCAGAAGTCAACCGTTTATCAGTAATGTAAGAGGAATAACTCAAGGAAAGTCCTTTTGCGATCGTGAGGATGTTGAAACGATTTCAGCGAACAAACGTCAATATTGCGATGTGCTAGGAATGGAATATTGTTCAGATTGTTCTAGAATTGGAGAGCAAAGTCTCAAGAAATTCCAAAGGGAACCAACGCTATATTTTGTTCCAAAAATCGGGAAAAGTTCTGCTGTATTTGGCGAATCCAGGAGGAGTACTTTTCCCAAAGTGAAAACTCCAATGGATGTATTTAATCGTGTTTATGGGCATCACCAGTATTTTAGATCAATAACTGATCCTGGTGGAGACAGAATCATCCAGAAAACAAACTTACCTAATCTTAGACCTAAATATATTTACTGGTAGAAATGGGCTGTCCTTTTGTATAGACTATAGCCCTTCATACAGGGTTTTGATGTTCAAAATTAAATTTTAGGTACCGGTATAATTAGAGATTGCTCCGATAATAATATAAAAACCAGTTCGAATTTGGCAAGTGTATTACATGTAGAAAATAAGACATCGCAATGGGTCTGGAAATAGTTGGAATCCGTTTGGGTCTTTTATTTAAAAAAAACAACAATATTTTTATTCAAGATGTCTGAATAGGATTGGGAAACAGGCTTAGCTTAGTTCATGGTGATATGAATTACGTTTTAATGACCAAAAATAATATAAGAATAAAAAAAATGATGGTTTGGCGGGATTATTCTATAGAGAAGGAGTGGAATGAATCAGATATTTGGAACCAAAGTTGATTTTAATGGAGTTCATTGAACATAAATGATCTTTTATTCATCACAAATGGTGTTGAATTTTTTTATCATAAGAGATGGTTCTGGTAGGAGATGAATTTCATAACCATTTGTTATACAGAAACGAAAAAAATAAACACGCTTCCTATTATGTTTATACCTTCTTATTACCACAGTGAAGTTTATTTATCATAGAATGATAAATATTTGGTTCCTTAGGAAGCTATGCAAGGGGTTCACAAGGCGCGAAATAGTCGAGTTGTCAATGGGAACAAGAATTTAGAGCAAAATGTGTTCAACATTGCCTTTTCTCGGAATTTTCCTTAACCCCGAAAAAATGTTTGTACGGATAGCTAGGGAAGATTTGTAAACAATTTTAACAGCAAATCGGGTTCAAAATCTCAAATGGACTCGCTTGTGGGCTAAAAACGCTCGCCAGGCTCCAGCTAGTTTACTTACGACTTTCCGAGCTATGGTCGTTTGTTCTGGAGCTTCCTGTGGCAGCTACTAAACCACACTGGGCACCTTTACAAAATCTTGCCCACCTTGCTGCGACTTTCTGAGTCAATGTCGTTTGTTCTGGAGCTTCCTGCGGCAGTTACTAAACCACAATGGGCGCCTTTACAAAGTCTTGCTCGCCTTGCTGCGACGTCCCACCACTCCACTGACTGGAGAGTCTTGTTTCTAATAATACAATGAAATTGAAAATGACCTTAGTTTCCTTTTCTGATCAGGCCACGCTAATGGGGTTTAAATGAATGTTTGATTCAGTGATGCGATTAATGATGTAAGTTTCGTAAATTCTGTAGTCTTCTCTTGTACATTAAGATCATCACTCTACTAATATATTGTTAGTATTACATAGTGGTATCTGTTTATTTAAAAAAATTCATTCTGATAACAAATTAATAAAGAATACATTCTGAATACCTGTCAACCCATCAATTTATTTATTACATTAATCCGTTGGAGTTTCAAGGTTCATTACTCATATTATCACAAAAAGAAAAACCATATCAATTTCATCTCATATCTTATAAATAATATAATAATGATAAAAACAAAATATTAAAGAGGCATTAGCAGTACTTTGGTATGTGGCTGGTTGGTGAAAATAATGTTTTGTTTCACTATAGTTATATGGTGCATGTTCAAATTCAAAACTGTCAAAATACCTGCTCTAGGTTGTGCAAGAAGTAGTGGAATTGAAGGTAATTTTGATTTTGATTTTAATCAAATTTATTACATATATTTTCTTGCTTTGCGAGAATGACAATGCCTCTTTAAATTGATGAAAAGTCAACAACTGTTTAGTTAAATGGTTAATTGTCTTATTTCATCTTACAAATACAAATTTATATATTTATATATTTAAACAATTTGATTAAAATCAGATGTCTATTTTGTTTCGTTTTTATTTCTGGTGCTGTACTAATATACTGACGTTTAACATATTTCCTTTGATCTACTCGACCAATAAAATTAGTGGTAGTCATTTTCAAAGCCGTGTAATCGCAGAGGGTTGTGGGAAATGACTCCATGTAAATAAATCGAGCATGACATACTGGTAAAATGTATATCTGTTCTTCATTAGTGTAACGAACGTGAAACTTATAGACAATAAATTAAATGAAACGTCAGTCATACCATCTGGCTCAACACGCCGCTGATAAAAAGTTGATTAGATTGTAATATGTAGTGTTAATGAAAGAAAGAAATATAGGTTGCTAGGCACCGAAACATACGCTCACAGCAGCTAAGTTGTCTGGACAGTCCAAAAGTCTTCCCGTACCATGAATCTTTAAGATACCAAAAAGTAAAATCTTTTACCTACTGACATCATTAGCGCGTTGACAAGATTTTATAACATAACCCAGGGCAATAACTCTATAACCTATAATTAGAAATTGTTATTCAACATAACATAGAATTAAAGTAGATTAGATGATAATGAATGTAGTATGTAGTGTGTTCACAAGAAATCATGGACGGCGGAACGACAGGCCGAAAGACGATGGCGACGACAGTATACGACCACTTTTCAAGGTGAGCGTATAAAAAAAGAAACAAAATTGCAATCTGGTTTTAATTAGACTGATATTTAACCGATTAACCGCAAATGCACAAGCAGATAATATTTTCAAGATGAACCCATCCATTATATATATATATATTAATTGACGAAATTCATATCACACCTTAAAAATAACATTTATATATTTAATCCAGTAATGGCATATACACAACAAGAACGCATTAGGAACATTATGTTACCGTCACGAATGCGGAAGAAAGAGCAGAGAATACACGAACTGTTAAACTTGCTATGGAAGGACTTAAAAGCAATGGACAGAGCTCACGCTTACTGGAAGTCTTAACAAGTTAAGAATCTGACCGAGCGTTTACTACAAATGTAAGTATGCGCTTTTAGTACAGATCAACCGATCAAACACTAGGACTGTTTAAAGAAAATGCATTTATAGATGATATATTCTGATAACTTCGGTCGAACTTTGTGCTTTGAATTTTGTAATGGGACTACGGATTGCGATCTTTTGAATTACTATTTTATCACTTGGTGTGGGTAACTTATGTTGATACACAATTGATAAAGAAGTGAATAAGTAGATATCAATTTTAAATATTGCATTTACAATAATACACGGAATACAAGTGAATAAGCCTTAAACTAATGTCGTAATGACGTGAAAGATCAATTTTTTTCCATTTTCCCTTCAAAATTCACCGCTCAAAAGTAATGTGGTTGAAATTATTTATTCATTCATCTGTCAACAAAAGCAAGCAGCCACTCCTGTGTGGTGGTATAAAGCAGCCTTTTATCAGAACGGGTTAAAGCGCCATTTTTTAAAAAAATATCTTTTATGTGACCTCGCTTACGTTATCGCAACAAAGATGAACTAGTTTAGTTTTTCTTTCTTTAAAGAGGGTTAATGTTCACCGTCTCGTATATCCCTTGTGTGGAAACTGTCTGTAAATTCGCCCTTGCGGACTGCCACTACTGTCGTCATAACTGAAACATGTCCCTGCTCTAATCTTGACGTCATCTATAGCCACATCACTCCTGTACCCACCAGCTACCGCCTCAAAAATAATCTTTAAAAAATATATATATATAAAAAAGCATATTAACTTTATTAAAAGGGAAACCAGAAAAGTATATGGGTAGAGTAAATGTCGTAGAATATTTTTTTGCGTTTTGCGTAGGGCATTACCAGACTACGACGACCTTAATGGCAAATTTATCTAGTCATCACTGACGCTGTCGGTTTCAAAACTTTTAACCAATCGAAGTAAAACTGGATGTTTGCATTTGTTTAACATACATACCAAAGCATGATAATACGCCAACACAGCAGCTATGTCTCGAAAAAACGATGACCATAGACAGCAGCTTATCCGAAAGGAAATGAAATGAAATTTAACGTCCTATTTTTCTGCTCCAAATTGGGCTAATGAAACGGGCATACGCCATACAGTGTGATTTCGGGGAAATTTTGCCCGGACAGCGGCACTACGGCCTACTCTTATATCGAATTCCAACTGTTAAGAGATTTTTTACGTGCACACAAACGTGTACACGGGACCTCGGTTTTTCGTCCCATCCGAGCGACTGACAAGCTGTCCTTGTCAGGCCCTCCGTCCTGCATCACTGATAAGGGGGAACCACGTTGGAAAATCTGGATGAACTTTCTCGGCCAATGCAAGGATCGAACACATGACCTCTAGGCTAGAGAGACAACGTCTTACCCACTTAGCCACCGTAACCCCATATCCGAAAGGAACACCTGGATGCGGAACAAATTTGATCAGGATCCGCATTCAACAGCTTTGATCTCTATCGTGTTCACTAGCGTTTCCAGACAATTAATATACCCAGAATGCTGAAATCACAACAAATTACAAAATCAATAGGGTTCATCCAATCACAGCCGTAATACTTTACGCCAAATTTGAAAAAAAAAAATCATTATAAACTGTAGAATCTATCGATTTAATAAGGTTTCGGGAAAGGTAGGAGGGGTGGTAAATCCGCTACGCTGAAAATCGAAAGGGTTTGCTCTCTCACGCCACCAATGCGTCATACCAAGTTGAAGAAAATCCGTTAAAATTTCTAGCCTTCGCGGCGTTAACAATTTTTTTTTTCGAAACGGAAAGTTGCGAAATGCTGAATTTCGATAGGGTTCGTCCTCTCATGACCCCAATGCTTCACATCCAGGCGATACGTTTCAAGTCAGTAGCTTGAAGCGTATATATGGTATTAGTGTCAGTGGCCTGTGGCACGAAGTAACAGTATATTGTCGCATACATAATATATTATGTCAACGCTTGGGCGATATAATATATTATGTCAACGCTTGGAACTAGGATGGAGGTGACTAGGCATGAACTTGCAACGATAGATTTAATTGGCGCTTTGATAACCAATGAATGCTTAGTTTCGATTGTTTTTTTCTTTTCTGTTTTTTCTCTCTTTTCTGTGTCCTAACCCTAACCCTAACCCTAACCGAAAGAAAAGTGCCCTTTTTTGAAATTCTGACATCACAGGTGCCCTTTTTCTGATAAGGATGCCCTCTTTTATTTACAGGGACACTTTCTATGGCTCTGATGACGCGTACATTCCACTGAGTCTACAGGTCTAATATGCTAACACGCTTGGAGCGTCAACACAATATATTATGTCGCCCAAGCGTTGACATAATATATTATGTATGCGACAATATACTGTTACTTCGTGCCACAAGCCACTGACACTAATACCATATATACGCTTCAAGCTACTGACTTGAAACGTGCAGGGTGTCACATCCAGTCGGAAAAAACCCCATTTAAACGTTAGCGTTTATTGTGCTAACAAGCAAAATACTGAACGATCAACGGACAGGGGCGACGACTTAATACGTCCACACATAGGCGTAGGAGCCGGGGGGGGGGGGGGCTGTGGGGGCAAAAAATTTATTTTCGGACAATGAAAAATTTAACGACCTTTTTTTTTCTATTAACGTTTAGAGAAAAAATATAACTAACTTATTTCTATGAGATCCACACTGCCCGAAAAGTATTTTCTCGTTTTTTTCTTGTCCACTGCATGCCCGAAAATATGCCCGAAGCTCTCTTATGATATGTATGCCCGAAAAAACGGTATTGATTTTGGGCAATTTTCTCTTATGCCCCCCCTGAATTACTTTGAGCTCCTACGCCTATGCGTCCACACTGAAATGTGATGGTATAAAAGTAGTATTTTCAAAAAAAAAAAACCCCAAAAAACCGATTTGAACAAACTTGATATCAGACTTTGAAACCACAATGTCCTTAATATTTCCGAATTTTATGAAATATCAATTCAGTGAGTTTGTAGCAATATCAAAAGCATATTTAAAGGATAGGTTGCCAGGCAACGAAACAACTCATTAAGTGATTATCAGAAAATCGTTAAAATTTGTTTGGTCTTTATAAAGTTCTGCCCCATCCTAACGTTTAGTATACGAAACATTTAATACCACGGATTTAACTGTTCAAGTTATTAAAATACATTTGTTTGTTTGTTAAACTCTGTGTATCAATCTGAAATCAATTGGATGATAACTTTAGCCTCTAGAACGTCCACAAGATTTTTTGAAGTGTTCAGAGGCCATAACTTTGGCAGTAATTTTCGGAAATCGTTGGAAATCACTAGGATTCTTCGTCTCATGACCTCAAACACTGCGTATAAATTTAAAGTCAATTGGATATTAACTTTAGCCTCTAGAGCGTCCACAAGATTTTTGAAGTGATCATGGGCCATAACTCTGGCAGTAATTATCCGAAAGCGCTGAAAATCAATAGGCTTCTCCGTCTCATGACCTCAAACACTGCGTATTTTTTGACTTTAGCCTGTTAACTTTAGCCTCTAGAGCGTCCACAAGTAATTGTGGACACCAGACGGACGGACGGACGGGGGCGACGACAATATACGGCCACATTTCAATGTGGGCGTATAAAAAAAGGATTGATAAGTCATAAATATTTCTATAAGACTGTACTTACATGGAAATCCTGGCCAATACTGCCTACAAATAAGCTATGTTTTCTCCACCAATCGCCCTGGTTGTTACTTACACTCCACAGAGACTTTTCTTCCCCCTTTTCCTCTGATTCCCTCAACACACTCAGTGACTTTATGTGTGTTCCGTACATGTGGTACCAAAATTCTACACAGTGTCCAACATTACGGTCAGTAATAGTTGGAGACCTGATTCGAGCGAAATCCCCTTGAAATCTCAAAGATGTTTCAATATATATATAAAATCCTGTGAATAAAACAATGATAATTACAATAATAACACAAGTTTACCTATCCCTCTAAGTATTGTTACGTCACCAATGGCCGTACACACTTCTCTGCTGTTGGCAAAGCTCTAAATATGACGCATCGTCGCTGACTTTTGGTGCCAATTTTTGAAAAACTGTTCTTTTATTTAGCAATATTTTTTGGGGAATTTTAAATAGGTTTGATAGGTGACATAAATTGGGCAGAATTGTGAACATTTCTTTTTAAGCCACAATTCTCCAAATCAGCTTAATTGCAATTTGAGTCACTGAATAATTTTCATGAACCAGAACAGTAGTTTTAGGAAGCAAAGATTACTTAAAGGAGTTGAATTTCTCTATACAGTAATCATTTGTTACATCCCGGTTTACATTAACGCATTAAAATAATCTATCACGATAATGGAACTATGGTTAAACAGTTCGTCAGTATTGTGTTAGAAACTGCTATATGTGAGACGAAATAACGAAAGTTATAACTGGTCAAATATATAAAGGTATTTAAGATATCGTTAAAATGCTTATATTACAAAAACAAACCATTTCCAGTAGTATGATCTTTGCTGGGACCTGTTCCAGTTGTACCAGTAGCACCTTTGTTTCTCGACCAATCAAATTTATCGGTGGGACTTTTTACATTTTTCCAGCCACAGAAGTCTTGATCAAAATTACAGTCGAATGTTAATATATCTGATGAAAAGAAAAATTCATAAGGATGCATATTATATTTTGATGATTGGATGTCTTGGCGCTATGAGAAACTGTCCCAAACTACACAATCATTTTCATAATTTATATTTTTATTCTCAAATTATGATATAATTTCCAGATATTATCGATTGTCATAAGTTGCACTGAACCTTTTACATAGTATAGTCGGTAAAGAAAAGCGCCTCCCTGCTCGCCATTGAATTCCCCGACCCGTGGATTAATGAAATTTCTGGGCTAGGGCTATCTAAATAACGTGCAATGCAGGTTGGGTGGAAGGCATGTTACATGAAACGCATAGCTCGAGAAATCCACAAAATTACAAACATATTAGCATTTATATGTATCGAGTGATCTGATACAAGCAGCAATCACACAAAGGTCTGTTACAAGCAGCAATCACACAACTACAATCTACGAGATTTTGTTGTGGCCCTAGGAACAGGTTTCTAGTCGGATCTTCCTCCTTGCGGTCTTACCCATATTATTTTATTTTGGGGGTAGAAAATGAATATTTCGTGAACAGATCTCAATATCCGACACAGGTGAATCATTCCCGGAATTGTATTATAAACAGAATAGAAAAAAAATACCATTTCTGTTCCTGATAATGATTATATTGTTATTTTATTACCCGGAATTACCCGGATTCTAATTTCTAAAGTAAACCTAGATAACAAGCCTCATCTCTCAACCCTCCGTGTTTCGAGATAAGAGATAGTCTTTATAGTTCCACGTAGCAAAGCCCAACGCGAATCAGATCGGGCCTCAGTAAGCAAAATTGACAATATTTTTCATCAAAACAACGATTGATTATTGTTATTTAAAATATTTCTGCCACATCCAACTAGAATTATGCATATAATCCTGCCTGAAACGGGTATAAATCATCGTATTTAAAATCGAGGCGTTAAGACGTTACTAGGATCGCCATTTTAAACGGGGCTAAATATAAGATTTTTATAACAGCCAATCAAAAAGGTCATCGCAAGTGGAGAAAATGTAAACAAACATAATGACACCCACCTGTTCTAATCTATCCGCGAATCTTTTCGAAAAATAAAATCAAATTACGGCGGTAACATTGAATTAAAACCCGAATAAGAAATTATTTTGGACCTGATAATAAAGGGCAAGAAGGATATTTTTGCGTTATGGTAAAAGGGGCGTGTAGGGTTTGTGGATGTCTAAAGCATCGTAACTATTATGAATGGACTTTGATGGCGGTGTATGTCGGATAAAAACAACACTGGTCTCTGTAAGTTTAATTAGTCATAATAGTATAAAATTATCTTACTTTTAAGATGTTACATGCATTAATAAAGAAATTGAGTTTGCCACTTGGAACTAAAGGCACCCAATCGTAGCAAAAAACAAGCACATCTGTATATCTTAACGTTTTTAGCTACGTTCTAATAGCTAAAGTAAGCCCAGCCTTGGTACTTTTGAAGTAGCTATCATAAAATAAAGCTCGAGCTAAAGTGTGAAGTATTCCTGCACAAGGCCTCTTTGAGAAAGCACTTTTACTCTCATTAACAGGTATACTGATGACGGCATATTGGTGACGTCATTTCACGGACTATGAATTTACTGATAATTTGCTTTCCATGTATCCCGATGAGTTAGAGATTAAATAGATTATAGATAATTACAACGAAGCACCCGACTTGGATCTACAAACCAGAAATAGAATGTAAACTTCTATTAATTTTAAATTGTCATTTATCCTTTTCTGTGCTGCAATATGCGTCAAGATACAGCTTTTAAGGTTTACATTTCTCCTCATTTGAATCTATGAGGCTATCTCAACTTAAAGTTTGTATTCAAAGAATTTTATTCCCCAATTATGCCGTCAACCCTGAATGTCGGTCCGTTGGCTCGTTAGAGTCTATAATCGGTTTATTTTCAAATTTGATGCCTAGCACGATTCCGTTCTGGAGTTATCCCCCTTTTAAGAAAACATTGTAAGCGCGATAGAGGCTGCGATTTTTAACATGTTTTTTTTTTACAAAGACGGTGTGAAGTATAGGGGTCATGAGTGGACGAACGTTGTGCTACCCTTCGCTCTGGAGTTATCCCCCTTTTCCCAAATCCTTGTTAACGCAATAGAGGCAACAGTAATTTGTTCAAACGAATCAGCAGTAAATATTCGCTTGACAGCTACTATCACTGAAAGTGGTGACACCGGGAAGAGTTAATTACAATTTTTTAAATTATCAAGAAATAAAATAAATGTGTTGGAAGTATATCTGGATAAAAATAAATTACTCAATAAAATACTACGCGAATGCGTAAAATAAAAGGCACCAATTATAGATCAGTTTGTGTTACTACGCCCGATGTATAATGCTCGTGAATTTGAAGGTCAGTCATCTTCTACAGAGTTAATAGAAGACTGTCGCAATACCGCTGTGAAACAGATTGAAAGTTGTTAACGGGTTATTTTGACATTTCTTATTTGAAGCACTGGGGTCCTGAGATGAGGAACACTATCGACATTCAGCATTTATCACCCCCCCCCCCTTCAAACACACACACACACACACACACACACACACACACCCACACAAAATCACCACAACCGAAAACCTTGTAAACGCGTAATGGGCTACAGTTTTTGATTAATATTATCCAAATTTGGTGTGAAGCATTGGGGTCATGAGAGGACGAGTTCTATCGACATTCAACGTTCAGTAACCCCCCCCCCCCCTCCAACCTACGTCCTACCAACCCATTAAGGGCGGGCTCTTTAGCAGTGGGAGGAAAACGGAAGATTCGGTGAAAACCCACGAGGTTGGACAGACGACCCTACTCCTTGTCACGTACAACCGGGGTATCGAAACGTCCCCAGTTGACTCAGTGACAGACCTTATGATAAAGCATGCACGGGCTAACCATTTGGCCATTCAACCCCTCTAATGCGATAGAGACTACTTTATAAATGCTTATTTCAAAGAAACGGGCCCAATTTGTATACCGCATGTGAACAACACTGTCAAGTGAAACAGTGAATGTTTGTTACATAATTATAAAAAAAAAACACCTAAAAATTGAAAGATATAATTAGCTTAGGGTTGTACATGAGCAGATATTTCAAGCACACAAGACATTCCAAACCATGCGTTACTTACAACACTATAAGTCTAAAACTCTTAATTCCAGTCTTGTAGCCTTTGAGCTACCTGTCGAGTAAATCCAATCCTTGGTATTTCGTTAGCATTTCCCTCAAAATACCCATTTATGTTGATTTCCCTCTCAAACAAACGGCCAATGCAAAATGTTTAGATTTTATGGGATTTAATAACGCATGTTTTGGAAAACAGTAGTTGTGTACGAAACTTTAAATATACTACTACTATTTAGTTTGGTATTATAATCTATTAAAAAAAACATTTCCACTGTATCTGGACTGAATTTTATTTTTTGAGATTATTTTGTTACATTATGCAAGAGCGGTCAGTGCAAAAATCTCTAAATATAAGTAGCCCTCTATATACTTATACTAATAAATTTAAAAAAGAAAACCTAAAAAACAATATTCTTCACGATAATGATCCTCTTAGCATCAATTGCAATATTTCACAGGGAAAGCCGCGGAAGCTTATATTCATATTAATCATAGAAATAATAATAATACGCTTTAAAGTTGTGAAATACTAATACCTAAGGTTAGTAATATAACATTAGTCTGTCATAGCACAGTTGAGAAATACTAATATCTAATATTCTTTACTAATAAGGTTAGTAATAACATTAGTCCTGTATAACAATTTCGTGTCAGCCATTTTAGTCTTGGGAGTAACTAGCCGGGTAAGTAGCAAAAGACTAAAATTACTAATAGCGCTTTCTATGGATGACGTTAATTATTTTGACGCAATATCTGAAGGGATTGTACATCAGACCATGGCCAGACAAACACGCATGACGTTAATTTGGGCCTTCTTATGATCCTTAAACGTGTTTACGAAAGTTTTCAAGTAATGATTTTTTAGGAAGATAAGATAAAAAGGATTTAATTTTAGACGTTTGATTATCAAAAGATGTGTTAGATCTAATTAAAATAATGGTTGGAATGTGCAACTGTATAAAACTAACAGGCAAAAAATAAGATTTGATAGAGCTGGAAAATGGTATGAAATTAAAATACCTAGTAGCCAAGGTTCGAATAACTTTCCCTCATTTCACATACCGAGTATGTTTTAATACAGCTGACATACCGAGTAGGAGAAAAGTGTCTGACCCAATTTCCATAATGCTTTTCAGCTAAACGTCAAAATTTAGTTTCAGTTTCTCTAGAAAGCGCTACTAAACACAATGATTACAACATGGAGGGGTGACAACATAAAAACATCTAGCAAATATAAATATTTAGTTTTTAAATAGATCTAGTCTATATCTAAGACGCACCAGCACAGTTCCCAACAGTGACATCTACATTATCAATTGCCATGTCACTTCTATAACTTGAACCACGTGAGCCTTCAAATACCAACTGAAAAACAAAACAATATTAACATTGACATGTTATTCACATATCCGCCAAAGGTAATTACATAAATAAGATATGTATTTTTCAAAAGCATTGAAATCAATTTTCCGCACTGGCCTCAATAACAAAATTAATGTTCAACTTAGCCGCAATCTCCTAACCAAACCGTTTCCTCTTCTCTGAGAATTAATTTGAACAATTCGGTTTATATTTGTCGCTATTTTGGATTGAATAAAAAATCTGGACATATTTTACTGTCTCATTGAATTTGTCTGTTTTATTCACGGCTCCCGGTGATAATAATGTCGGCAATATGGCACTTGGCAAGGGAAGTAACTTAGTTAGACCACTCTAAAATTCGACAGAGTTTCTCCTTAGGAAATTCCAGTAAGTTTGAATACAAACTATTACGAAATCTGACCTGTCCAGTGTGTACACGAATTGTGGAAAGATGGACGGACAGGGGTAACGTGAAATGTGGGTGTACGTTTAGACAATTTCGGACGTATATTTATTTACCATTCATAATACCCCTACGTCCATCTTGTCCTAAAATGTGTCTAAACTTGTAGTTTTATAGAAGTCATAGGATATTCTTACCTTGATACATTGTACCCTTTATCATGATTAAGCCCTAGTCATGGATGTCGAATCTTTCTGGCATGATTTACTAAACGTTATATCTCTTTAAATTATTTAGTTTAATCTCACCTGATAAAGCGATTTAGGAACAAAATCTAATTGTTCTCGAATCCAGTCAGTGCCATGGTCTCCAGATCGCGTCCATAGCAACTCTTTATTTGAACCAAACTCTGACAGATACACTTTGATTGTGCCCATAGAATCGCCAAACATATGGTAGGAAAAAGCAAGGCATCGTTCAGAGCCACCCTAAAACAACACGGAACATATATGAATATAATAAATGAATATTGTTCAATAGGTTTTATGCGACTCCTGTAATATTTATTGATAACGTTGACCGAAAATGGCTAATGCACCATACCTCTGTAAGAAAATGGAGTAGTTGCTTATATACTCAGCATATCACCTTTAAAATTGTTCTATCCTTCATTACATTAATTTTGTAGCATATTTATGAATTAAGTGTATTTAACCTGTCTGTTTTCTTTTAAAAGTACTTCCATGGAATTCAGACACAACAAAAGTTTACAATGACTGACAACTGTGGTCATGGGGCTGTTATGTTGATAACAGTATATTGTCGCTTTACTAAAACGATAACTACGGGTTTGAAATTTGAAATTCAAAAAGGTTCTTCCCAATGCCCCAACGAACAACCTCGACACGTTTTAAAAACTTGGGTTGCTAGACATCGAAACATGCGCCCATCACAAACTTAGACATCCGTACTTTTTGATAATGGTTGTCCCTATTAAAGCTACTAGTATGCTACTTCAGGGTTTGTATCTCAAGATTTCCATTGTAAACCTCATACATGCTTTTGGGCAAGACGTTGGCACATTTTGCTTTATCTACGGTATACGGCGTTCAACCCACGAAAATGTGGGAATAATATGGAGGTGGTCGAATAGATGAGAATTGGTTTTGTTTGGATAGAAAGTATTGTCGGGTTTATATGATACATCATGTACTAAATCCAAATACCATTTACATGTACTTACCCTTAACATCGGTGACTGAATTATTGCTGTATCACCTTGTACTCTCGGCGCTGATGCTTCTGTATACAGATATTGACCTGTAAGTAGATATGAATTAATATGAATCACATTCAGCGACACAGCCTTCATCACATCTGTTTATTCTATTGTTTGCAGACGATGCAGTTTTGTTTCCAAAAAGCAATTCAGTGTTGTAAAACCTTTTAAACAGATTCCGTTCATACTTAAAATAACTTTCTATATCAATCACAAAAACTTCTCATTATTCAACTTAGTCCTCATACTACTGCTCTGATCGTGAGCATATCATTGATTTAGACTTTTCTGTTAAGATAGATCCAAATTACCTTGAAATCAATTCGGAGGGGGGGGGGGTAAACGTCCTACTTTTCTGCTCCGTCCGGGATAATTAAAACGGGCATACGTCATACGATCTTTTGTCCGGACAATAGAGACTTTTGGCAAGCGAAAATTTCTGGTCCGTATCGCGTATCCGTATGGATTTTGCGTGTGACGTAATCAATGTGTGTGTATTTCTCATATGTGATACGGCACACGGATACGGCAGCACGTATCGAACGGCTTTCATACGGAAAAGGTCCGTATAACATTGTCGTGTCCCTTTACCGTCTTTTTTACTACCTTTAGACGCTGAAATGTTGTATCGTAGCGTTTTCATGGATCTTTGTGTATTCTAGAACACGAAGGTATATATTTGATGGGATTTTAACCATGATGGTTGATCTACGTGCTAAATGTAGGGAGGCGGAACCTTGCAAATCTTTAAATGATTTTATTCTGTGGTAAACGGGTATAAACTTTCTGAAATGATACATTAGTGAAACCAAAAATTGCAGTCGAGTCGAAGTCGAAGATTTTTTAATAAGATTCGACATTAATTTTTTTTTAATAGCTCAGTGACTGTCGAGCGACTTCATTCCCTCCTGGAAATTGTCGGCTATAATAGGCATTTGACTAGTACTGATGGTGATCTTGGTAGATATCTGCCATCATGCTGTAATAGAACTAAGCTCAGCTTATCGACGCATACGTACGCGACGCGAAAATCTGCCAAAACTCTAAAACTACATTGACGCAACGTATAACGTATGCGATACGGATACGTGATACGGATGGGAAAATTCCGCTTGCCAAAAGTCTCTATTGACCCTGCGACGTACTCTTGTGTCGATTTCCAACTGTCAAAGGTTCTTTCACTTGCACGCTCACGTGTACACGGGATCTCGTTTTCTTTTGTCCCATCCGAACGATTAAACATTGTCTCTTGTTTGGTCCTGCATCAAGTGGGAACCAAAATATTTTTCATTATTTATATTATACTATCCTTAAACTTTGGAACTTCTAAAAAAAAAAACGTCGTTCAATTTCTCCTAGTCAACCGTTTTAACATTCTTTCCATGAAGCGGCCCGACAGCCTTGAAATGAAAATATCCACCTAATGTTTTTCAATGGATATCTTCAATATGTGTAAATTCATCCTTGAACGGCAGAAGATGCCATAACCGAACGAAACGCCAATATGGTCCTTATATTCCACAAAATAGCTAAGTTTAGGAGGCCATGGAAGAAAATAGTCATGTTAAAACTTTGTTATCAAAGGACTCATCGAGGACACTCTATTCTTATAAGAACACAAACTCTTAACAGCCAAACACACTTCACTATCAGACCACAGTGAGTTGAAAGCAAATATTTCTAAATGTTGACTAGTGCTTACATCTGTTGTAATAGTGCAGCTACACATTTATTCTGGGTGGGTGCTGTTCCTAGCTGTTTTGCTTGCTCTAAAAAAAGCAAGCCATCTAAGACTCAACAGTGAAGTCAAGACGTATGAAAAGTGATCGCGGGCATGTAATACAATTATGCGATATGCAAGGCCCATTGTAGATTAAGTCATAGGTCACGAGATGTAAATAGAGTTAGGGCACTGGTTAGGGTCCTAACACTAACCCACAATCTCGTCAACAATCACCTGCCCTAACCCTATTTACATCTCGTGACCTATGACGAATTCTGCACTGGGTCTTTTATTTGAAACGTAAGAGGTTTCGTAGTTTACCACAAGATACAAGGTCATACAACAGAAGCTATGGAGAGCGGATTGTCAAGCATACATTATGTTCCACTACGACACCCGTCCGTGCTACCTTCCCTACTAGAAATCAAAGAGGAATTAAGAGAGGGAAAATGTTTGCCAGCGTGATACAAACCCGCTGCTTTGCCTGTGCGTATGAGTGATCGAATAACTGTCACGCAAAGTTCATCTTTGCTGAATGATACAGATGAAAAAGGAAGAATCAGGCTGCTCTACTGATTGCGAGTATTCCAGTGATTCAATCAGACAAATATGCGAGTACCAGTTAGCTTTTAGAAACATTTGCTTTCAACTCATGATGGTTAGATTGTGAAGAATTTGTGTTCTTAAAAGAATCCAAGGAGAAGTATGTTTTCGAAGTAGAATTAAAGAAGAATACAATAAAAAAAAACCCTGACTTCTAGCAGTCGGATTATACCGATTCCGGGATTATTCATCATATCAGTTTTGGATCATCAAGATCCCGTGTAATACTGCCAACTTAGGAATTACTACTGCAACGCAGAGAAGACGTCTGTAAAGGAATGTCTACAAACTACTATACTTCAAAGCAGTAGAAGCACCTAGAGTAAAGAACATTTCAACCAAATACTGGTAAAATTGGACTGCATACTGTGAGTAATCTTGTATATTATTATATTAGGACAATATTTGTTTATTGTTTGTAGTTGTTATATTCATACTTACACCCATTTGTTCCAATATCATTCTATTATTAATATAATAAATCAGTCTAGATTTGTCTGATCGAAGTATTGGGTGGATCGTGAATCTGTTAACTACAACCGATACTCGGTGATTGTAACACAATATAATAGGAATAAACTGGTAAAAATTGTTAATCTCATGAGATGATAATACTTCCATGGTATTATCCTGGGAGGCTTTCCTATTGTAGTGAAAACGGTACAAAATAATTCACAATAGAATGGTATGAGGTAGGTGGGCGGGTGCGGATGCTGTCTGCCTACAATTCAGACAGACATACCTTCGAACCAAGGGTAATAAGCGTAATGGACAGGGCCACAGGGTAACGACATTATGATACGCACGCATTAACTGAAGAATTCCATGACAGAGATAAAACCATTGCAAATAATTAGCATGCTACTTTTCACTTATTTAACAAACAAAGTAATTTGAAAAAGTAAATTAAAATCTCTAAATGACTGACCTGTATTGTCTAAACAGGTTTCAATGACAGGGGCGATAACTCGGGTTATTATGACTAGTCCAGGTTATCTTAAAAATATAAACGCAAAAACTCTTGACTTAAATGGCGATTACAAGATTTCGACGGGGCCTCATTTTGGGAGACTTTTCGATACCTCAAAGAAAATAGATGTTGCCAGACAACTAAACATACGTCAATTGTCGAATATTTTTCTTTTCTAGGTAATGAGGTAATACAAAACAATTAGCTCTTCGAGTTATCGGAAATCTTAGTCTCATGAACATAAACACTGTGTATAAACTGCAGATTAATTGGATAATCAGTTTGGACAATAGAGGGTACACAAGATTTTTGAAAGTGATCTAGGGCAATTACTCTGAAAGTAATTACCAGCTTCTTCGTCTCAAGAACTTCAACAGTGTTTATAAATTACATGTCAATAATTTTAACCTAGCTTGAGCGCCCACCGGTAATCAGAACATGTAACTTATACTGTTCGAGATATCGCAAATCGACTTCTTGGTGTATAAATGTCCAGTCAATTTGCCCCCAGAACGAAGCCTGGGCGTATAAAAACGTGGGATTATTAGACAAAACAGTGGTTACTGTTTTAACAGTATATTTGAGATGATTGTATAGCGAAAATTAGTCATTGTTCTTTCATATAGAACAACAGAAAAAAAAGCTAGGTTGTCAGGCAACGAAACATACGCCCACAGCAGCTAAATCTCCCGGGCAGTCAAAAACAGTTGTCGCATGTGTTTACTTTTTTCGGTAATAAAACATTTATAATACACTAAAATCTGATTAGGAGTAACAACTCATTAAGTAATTATCAGAAAATCATTAGAATTTGTTTGGTTTTTATAAAGTTCAACCCCATGCTAACAATTAGTATACGAAACATTTAATATTAGTCTGCCGGATTTAGATTATTTCCTGGAAAGAAGTCCCATCAAAGCAAACTTGGTCTCAAATGAAAGGTGGGGTCCGTAGGTACTCCAGAAAAAATTACCCATCATGATTGCTTGGGGAAAATTTTTGGGGCGGTTTCAAAGGCCAGGGTCGACCAATCAGAAAACAGCAGTTAATATTTCAAAACCTATCAATGTTAGACCCTATAAATGTATTATCAAGATATAGAAACTCTATTATATCTGAGTCAAATAAAGCAGTCTGTACTAATGGACTTAAATGCCAGTGCCTGGGCAAAGTTCTACCATAGAAAAAATAACCCATGGGGTTGTCCCGAAATGACCGAGGTAATGTGTCGACGAAACGTTTAACTCAATTCTATTTTATTTTTTAAAAAAATCGAAGGAGCATTAGGTAAGATTATAGTAAGGGAGCTAGGAAAGACATGAAGAGTACAGGGGAAGAACGATCTAAGTCACATTTTTGTCTTTTCGTATAAAAGGCAAAACAGACTTTTGGACGAGAATGCTTGACGCGAACAGAACAACGAGTGGGTTTAATTATAACTTCAAAATGATGTTTAATACGAATCATAATTACCAGTACGACAACTGACTTCCACTTTTTAGCCAAATTAAGGTCAAATAAATACAATGGACTTGTATTTGTCCGGGAGGCCATTTTAGAAGGGCCTTGGTTCGATGTGACTCCGATCGTTTTTACATTAAATTGATTGTTCCACAGAAAGCTTACACAATTAACTGGGGTTCGTTGAAAAAGGGACTTAGATCGTTCTTTTCCTGGGCTCTTCACATTGATGGGGGCTTTGGACACATGCTCCTTACTTCGGAGGTTTAGGATCGTTTTAATTC